CCTCCCCACGCAACCTCAAAGGAGACTGAAAACGTGCTTCGCCCGCTTTTTATCGGTTGCGCGGTTTGGCGCCCCGCCTCGCCCCACCCCTCAGACCCGCAACTCGACGCCTGCCCGGCCTGTGGGAGTTTGGAAAGAGAGGCGGAAAGGCCTGTGGGAGGCCAAGGGAGAGTGGGCTCTAGAAGCGGCTTTAGACCGCGCTTCTCGAAGGTCCTCTCAACCTCGCCAATTTCCCCTCACGGGTGGGGTGAGGGGGAAAAAGAAAGAAAGCAGACTCCCTTGGGAAACGGTTACACCAGGGGGCTGGAAGTGTGCTGGTTGTCCATGTCCCGCCCGCCTCGCAGGGAAGGCCAAGGGTGAAAGAAAGCAGCCTTCGTCGGGAAGAGTCACCCGAGGGGCTCCCGAAGCGCCTTGGCCCGGCATTTTCTGGGGGCTCTTCTCGGTCTTGGCTTTTGGGGCCAAAGCGGGAGAGGCCTGGGTCAGGACGCTCGACGAGTTTTGCAATGCTATTCCTAAGTAATTTAGTGTCTTAGGAAGAGCAGCAACAGAAAAAACTCAGTAACTCGTTATCGTGTAAATCTGAGCCTAAAGTCGGTTGAAATCGCTGGGATGTAAACGGGCTGCAGTTGGCTTCTCAGCGTCCTCAAAGGCGTTTCATATGTCCTTTCATATGAAAGTAAGCCCCACGAAACTCACGAGGGAGTACAGCGCAACCCAGAACGTAGTGGTTAAAGTGAGAGCTTGACACTCAAGTCCCACCAGAGACATGAAACCCTCCCGGGGATGTTGTGCTTGTTACTCTCACTTTGATCTACCCTGCAGGGCTGCTGTAATGATAACCTATAGGGAAGGAGAGACTTCTACCCTTGGCTTGAGCTTATTGTAGGAAAAGCAGGATAGAAATATAAAATGAATGAGATGCCATTGGAACCTTAGTAATAATTTACATCCCAGTGATTTCATTGGGATCTATGTTTTAATCCTGATGTAGACCTATGCCACTAATTAGAAAGTGGCATGGAATGTCAGATTACTGTTTTTTAATAGTTTTGCATTGACAATATATAGCATATGCAACACCTTCCCACTCCTGTAACAAGGAGTACTTCTTGTGTGCAAGAGATACTTTCAGGATGGTGTAATTTTTTTCAAATACTGTACTGTATATACCAAGTTTCAGGAAACTGATGAGTACACAAAGCAAGAAGCCTTAGTCTATTTATGATACAAAGAGATGTGATGACGTTCCGTTGTGTTTATATAAAGGTTTCACAATTTAATATGCACTGAAGTTGATGTCAAAAGTTCACCCAAAGTTTCTAAATTATTGGATTATTAGTGCTAGGGAAAGGCACAGATAAATGTTTGATCCATTTTTGCTAAGGATGAACCTAAGGGGTTCAGTACATTTAAAATGTAGAAACCTATTATGCTCAATACTTGATGAGGTGTTAATTATTTTCACAGCAATAATAATTCTAATATTGGTGAATATTCCCTTTGTATCAGGAAGAATAAAAATGTTTCACATTGGTTTGAAAAACACTGAAATTAGTTTTTCACCGTTGTCCTGCTGTGGTTTCTTAGTTGCAGAGGAATTTTAAGACTATACAAAAGCCTGTGCCATTGCCCTAGTTGCTAGTGTGCCAGTATCTTCAGGGTGGATAACATTCTTGTTACAGTACTTTGATATCCTAGTAAGCTGAGTGCACAGGGGTGCTAAAATGGCTCCAGGATTATTGTGTATTGTTTTTTTCCCCAACTCTGTTGTATGGAAAGGCACAGATTAATGTTTTATCATTTTTTGCTAAGACATAAGGATGACTCTAAAAACGGGTTAATCTCTAGCTTTCGAAATGTGAAGCAAGTATCCAGAGTTTGAATGGTTTACAAGCTAATAAACAAAAACATCTTAAGCACATTGCCAAAATTGTGCTTTCACACCCTGTTCTTAACTCATTACATGGTTTATGTAAAACCTGACATATGAGGCTCAATTCCATAAAGAAGAGACATCTGAAGTTCAGTAAAAGCATGGGTTTCAACATTCATGTTCAGTTTCTCAGTTCCTTTTCTCCTTTGTTCCCTTTGGTTACATGTAATTGTTGCCTTGTAGGATAAAACAAGTACTGTAATACCTCAAGAATAGCCTGCTTACAGTATACAGTACAGCAATCTTATACATGCCTGCTTGGAAGTCCCACTAAGTTCAGTTAAAGATAGACAAGAATGAAACACCAATCAGTGAGCATTTAATACATAGATTAATTAAACCCTACACTAGATAAACAGATATTCCATCAAGTTTTTCTTGTTCTAAGGTGGTGGTGGTGGAATCAACCTTGTGAGAATATGCTACAGTAATTTTCTCATGTGTTCTCTTCATTAAAATTCAGTTGGCGTTCCCTATTCTCTGGCTTAACTGAGGTTTTGCTGTGCTTTTGTTCTACGTATGAATAGACCTTGTTGCAAGCCAAAGTGTAAGAGCAAACTTTTCAAAGGCAGCATGAATCACTAAGCAGTGAGGCTATAACAAAGTGTACCGACAACTCTGCTGACACAACTATTCAAAGTTGACCATTAACTTCCCAGTTTAAGGTATGTATGACAGATTTTATCAGCTGGTAAATATGCAGATAGGTTGTATTAACCAGTCTTCCCTAAAGCATGTTGAAATGTATGTAAAACTGATGCTCCATGTTAACAGAATTAATTATTTTGTAATGCTTGCTGTTACTGAAGTGAAGGGTATACTTTTTTTAAAGATACCTCAACTGTGCCTTTTCCAAATATTTGTGGATTGTTATGTACTGTACTACAGGACAGGAAATTGTGTATGGAAAATGCATTTTCATCTTTTGATGTATGATAGAAGTTGTTGAAAATAGTTTCAGCATTTTGGGATTTTCTTAAATTGAATTCATTAGTTTGATGCTGACTTATATCAGATGTTTGTTACTTGGTTACTCTTTGGTCTTGGTAACAAAGCTTGGAATTTAAAACAGTGTATAGTAGTTTTAAAATGTAGTTAATCAAAATTACCTGCTGTATGTACTACATAACCTGTACGCTAGTTCTAGAGATGTTGATGTATAATTTACTCTTTTACCTATACTGTACTATAATGCACCTTTGAGTAATTATACATAAGACCAAAGTGTCACTCTTTCATCCTAAGTAAGTTATGTTGGTGTTGTATTGAAATGTTTATATATTTCAGAATATATATTTTAGGATGTAGAAATTTGAGAAGTTGCTCCTTAGGATAACTAAGGAAGTAGAGTATATTCTAGCATTTTTAAATGTAGGATCAACAATAAATAAAACGAAAAATTGTTTTTGCTTTAAAGCATTATGACAAAGGAAGACTCTTACAGGGAAGAATTTAGTTATGACAGAATGCCAACTTTGGAGCGTGGAAAACAAGAGAGTGGAAATTATGTTCCAGATATTAAATCTAGTGACCTTCAGCTATCAAAGAGATTTCATCCTTGTTTTAGTTATAGAACATGGATTTATTCTTTACTGATGGGGGTAAGTATCAAATGTTATTACTGTTAATAACAGTCTTAGAACTGCAGAGCTAGAAGAGACCATATGGATTATTGAGCCCAGCCCCTGTCAAGGAGGCACAGTGGAGAATCTAACTCTCAACTCCTACCTCCACAGCCAAATACCTACACTACTGAGCTATCCGGTAGTTTAATCTACCTTAGCCAGGCCTGAAAACTTGTGATTTTTTTCATAGATGATGGCAGTTATCACATTATATCACTGTCCATTTCATTACAAATATTTGAGTTTACTCCTTGGAATGTTTGTCTTTTTGAAAAAGTCAAGTTTCGCAGAATTTATGGCCAAGTTTCAGTGCTGTACTTCTGTATCTAATGACAACCGAGTAGGGTGTTTCTTCCCCTGCTTTCTTTCTGTAGACCCCTATAATACCAAAACTGCTGCAGTGTTTTACACTGGCCCTGCAGACCAGGTTGTGGGGTGCACAGAGGGCTGCAGGAAGCAGGGGAGGGGATCATTGATTCTGACATAACCAGAAGAATCCAGTTAAAGTACGTACATCCATAGACCTTGGCAAATGGTTCTAATGGTACAAGCCAGAGCATCTTTTCTTGAAAGTACTGGATTGTCCTTGTTCTACAGTGGGGTTTAATCCTTGTTAAAAGTGTAAAATTGTATTATGAAAGTGACTTCTGGTTTTAGAGGTTAAATATGTTTCTCTCCTTTTTTCTCAGGTAACATTTTTAAGGATTTCTAAAAGCTACTATGAGTGTAATTTTTAGGAGAAAACTAAAAATAATAAATATTGAGAAATCTGTGTTTGCATTTTTATAAAAGAGTTTGAGGAGGGTTAAAATACCAAAGTTGACCTACCAAACAATGAAGGCCCTCATTAGCTATTGAGTTTCACTTGCAGTTATCAGTAATAAGGGATGTTGCCTGAACAGTTGTGATACTTGGCTCGTGCTGCAGACACAAACTCCAAAATAAATGCTTAGCTGTATTCCCACATCAAGTTATTTATTGCTTTTGTTTAAAAGCAAAACAAAAACCCTAATTAATGTGATGCACATACTTCTTCATTAAAAGGATTGAACACAAGAAAAAAAAGTATAATGCACAAGGAGAAATTGAGGTAAAGCTATCCGATTTATTCATTTTGTAATCTTTTAATCATAAGCAACATATCACTTTACCTTGTGCATCATAGAGTGATTGATAGGGAAGTTTACGATACCATTCAGCATCATGTGAAGTTGCTTAATTGTTCTTAAATTCCCTGAAAAAACATGTGGTTTGTTTTGGGGCATTTAGATTACAGTATGCAGGTTAGTATAGATTCACTGTCACATTGCCCCTCTGTACAGTGGGGTCACTGTACATGGAGTGTCATGCATGTGTAAATCACAGTAATGGCTATACCTAGCACAGAAATAGCATTCCCTAATTTGACTATTTTGTTTGGTGTTTAATGATCTTGTGTTAGATGATATCAAGTCAATTCAGACTTATAGTCTGCTTGGTATTTCAGATTTCCAAAGTAAGATATTTAAGGAGTAGTTTTACTGGTGACACCATACACTGCCCTGATAAGACTCCACAGCTGAGTGGAAATTTAAACCTTGGTCTCCTGAGTCCTAGTCTCTTGTTCTGTCCAATACACCAGTGGCTCCCAACCTTGAGTTCCCAAATATTCTTGGACTAAAACTCCCAGAAGCCTTCACCACTAGCTGTGCTGACCAGGATTTCTGAGAGTTGTAGTCCAAGAACATCTAGGATCCAAAATTGAGCACCACTGCACTATACCATACCAGCTCTCTTAAGATAACTGGAAGGATAGCTTTAAGTAATCTGCATACTCCTAGGCTAAGAGGAGTTTGGATTCAGCACACATTTAGTTAACTTCCTATTAGCTCAGCTACTATCCTCATGAGTTAAGACAGAATGGTTTAATCTCAAATCTGTGTTGTTTACGTAGGAATAAGTTCCACTAACTGGATGGAACTGGCATCTGACTTAATATACTGTATATAGTATTGCTTATCATGGGTTTCAGTTACACACTTGTTTGTCTGCCCAGGCAAGTATGAGTGGAAGTTGTGTACATACCTTAAGTGTTTAACAGTTCATCCAATTAACATTTATTGCACAAGGATATGATAAAATTAACGCCTAAAATGTTTTTTACTACTCAGATTTATTTTATTAATTTTACCAAGTCATTTTTGATTTATTTCTGAAACCCATAAGCCATCTCAAGCAATCAGGTCCTTCCCTGCTTTCAAAAGATAACAACATTTTACTTTGGCAGTGCCATCAAAGATGACAGATCTTGTACTTGTTACTTTTGGAGACTATTTTGCTGTCATAATTTGTAAGAACATAAATTACTTGTTCATTAATAGATTATCTGGGTCACTTGAACTTAAGGACTCTCTTGCTACAAACCAAACAAGTAACAGTAGTAGTAAATTCCCGATACAGTATTTCCCTTGGATGCCTTATTAAGAATACAGTAATTGCTTGTCGGTGCCTGGATAGCACTGCATAGCCGCAAGCTGTAGACACACTGTCTGTCTTTGGTTAGATGTTTTTGTATTCCTGCCAAGAAAGGAGCTCATTTTCTTTAGTTAAGTAGTTGTTATACATTATTTGATACATCTTTTGCTGACATTTTAAAAATGTGGGCAGCTCAAACAAGAATTATAATTTTTAAACTGGGCTTTAGATCAGCTCCAGATTTGGCACATTTATAGCAGTCTGCTTTTGCCCTGTGCCAAGCTTGGGAAGATTAGCAAATGGCTTTCAAATTATGACGACCTTGTGTCCTTTTAAAGAGAAGGGCGGGATAAAATATTTGAAGTGAATAAATAAACAAAGTGCTTCCACCTGTTCAGAAATAGGTGACCCTAAATGTCCCCAGAGTTAAAGATCACATGAATTGGGGGAAAATGTGATTATTTTGAAAGAGAATTGTTGGCCCTACCCACTTTTTTTATTTACAGTGGTGCCTCGCATAGCGATTGCTCCGCTTAGTGAAGAAATCGCTTTGCGATTGACTTTTTGCCATCACAAAAGTGATCGCTTTGTGATGGTCCCTATGGATTTATTTTGCTTTGCGATGATCGCGGAGAAGCGATCATCACAACGTGCCCATTTTCGCACAGCTGATCAGCGGTTTCAAAATGGCTGCCGGGTAAACAAATGGCCACCCGCTGTGTTTAGGGACGGATTCCTCACTTTAGAGACACCGAAAATGGCGGCGCTATGGAGGATCTTCGCTTAAAGGTAAGTTGTAAGCCCATAGGAACGCATTAATCGCATTTTAATGCATTTCTATGGCTTTTTTATATCGCTTAGCGACCTTTTCGTTCTGCAGCAATTTTTGCGGAACGAATTAACGTCGCTAAGTGAGGCACCACTGTATTTTAAAATAATCTGGCCTACAGAAGCAGAAATATTGATCCTCAAAAAAGGCCTTTCAAAAGGGAACAACTGCTGCTTTGTTATAAGACTGAGCATGTGTGATATAGGTTAGCCAGTACCATAGAAGCTGCACTAATTGAAGTGTATACATTTGTAGGCAGTGTGTGTGTGTGAGGAATACTTATAGAGAAAAGTCACAAAAACGTACTGAGATTTTGTTTAAGGAGTAAAAATTCAAGCTTTGCTTTACAGAAATTAATGCAGTGACAATTTTCTGCAAAGGGGGATATTTTGCCATGTATCTTCAGTAAATTCTCTAAGGATTTCAGAGACTAGTCTCTTCACATATATTGTCAAAGGAGAAAACAGCTCCATGTCTAGAGCCATCTGAACTTTTGTCCTTGTCAATCAGGACACAATTAGCTGACTTAGCTAAGAGGATTCTATTTCTCGTTGTAAAACTGGAGAAACAAAAAGAACATTAGAAAGGTTTAAAAATATACAGATGTTGAAAATATATTTTTAAAAGAATACAGAACAAATATTCGGAAGCTTATTCATTTAAGCTGTGAAATTATTGTTTTTTGCTTTGTGGCTGGAGATGATCTTACTTGATATTAGCAGAGATTGGGTTCCTATATCTTGTCATAGTCTCCTGTCAAAGTTTCCATTCCACTCATCTTGTCACTGAACAATTGCTTGTTAATTTTAAACAACTCTAAAGATTTTAGATACTATAAAGATACTATAAAGTCACTTCTGATGTTTTGGAAACTATATAAATTAATGACCTCCCAAATATCCTAACAACTTTGCTGAGATTTTGCAAACCAACAGCATCTCAGGTTGGGTTGCTCTCTCTTCCTACTGCCCTGCTTCCTAGCAATACTGTCTTTTCCAGCAAGTTCTGCTCAGCTTCAGCTAACAAACTAGAACAAGTCCAGAGGAGGGAAACAAGGATGATCAGGGGAATGGAAGCCAAGCCTTGTGAGGAAAGACTGAAAGAAGTGGGCATGTTTAGCCTTGAGAAAAGACTGAAGGGGGATATGATAGCACTTTTCAAATACTTGAAAATAAGGTTCCCTGTAAGGTGTGCACCTGCGCGACCCCACCTCCCTCTGCTCAGCTTTCCTCCTCCTCCTCCTCTCAGCAATCGTTTTCAGCCTCTTTGGTTCTGGTCGTGATGGAACCACATGTGGGAGTGTGTGGAGTTGTGCAGGCATGCAGGGGCAAGGTTGCGAAAGAGAGAGAATGGTGAAGCACTGCCCAGTGGGGCTGAAAATTACAGGGTACTCATACAGGTAGTCACAGAGGAGGAGCAGAATCTGTTTTTAATCATCCCAGAGTCCTGGACTCATAAGAAAAGGCTCAAGTTACAGGAAGGCAGATTTACGCTGTATATCGGGGGGGGGGGAAGCTTAGCTGTTAGAGCAGTATGGCCATGGAACAAATTACTCCAACACTGGAGGCATTCAAGAGAAAGTTGGACAACCATCTATCCCATTTACTTTGATTTAGATTCAATGACCTTATAGGCCTCTTTCAACTCAATTATTCTATTATTCTATGGATTTCTTTATTGAGTCAACTCATCTCATGTGAGGTTCTGTCTCTTTCCCTGCTGCCCACCCCTTTTCCAAGCAATATTGTCTTTTCTGGTCAGTTCTGAATTCTCATTATATATGCAAGGTAAGATAGCCTCAGTTTACTAATTATTGCTCTAGTGAGAGTTTGGACTTGATTTGATTACCTACTTGCCTTCCTTTCTGGTGGTCTGTGGAATCTTTAAGGCTCTCCTTCAGCACCACATTTCAAATGAGTTGATTCTCCCTGTCTTTCTGTCCATCTTTTACATAATATGAATTATTTTGACTTTAGTTTCAAGTAACAATCATTGCTAAGTCCTAGCTCCTCCTTTTTTATTTCAAAAGACAAGGGAACATATTTTGGAAAACATGCAAGCAACATGTTGTAAAGCAAAGGTTTGGAAATTGGAAGATAGCTTTCTGGTCTGCATTCTGTGGAACATTCATGGCTATATTAGTTTACCTGAGAGGTTAAAGGGTGTGTTTTATGTTTCATTGTTGTGTGCGTGTTACACTTTTGCTTCACCATTTCATTAAATCCAAAACAGCCCTTCAAAATATTTTCACACAGAGGGACTATTGCAACATCCCATCTGTTCTTGGTTCTTCTCTTCCCCAGTAACCATATTACAGATCATGTGATCATTTTCTGGGATCCTCTAGCACTGGATAATTCTACATAAGGGAAGTTGCCAAAGTTTATGTATAAAAAGCAGGAAAATACAATTCTTCCAAACCCCCCTCCATTTATGAATGTAGGATACTGTGCATCTGTATCCACAATTCAAAACACTAGGAAATGGCTCAATACTGCTGCACTTATGTTGCCAGCAGAAAAAAAGTGTGCCAAATTTTACATAGCAAAGGCCAGACTGAATGTTGACAATATCTGGTCTACAGGATACCCTCTTGTGCCATTTCATCTAGGTATTTTGATACCTAGAAAACTTGTTGAAAAACAGCCTGACAAGTGAATTGTAGTGTGCACAAGAAGAATATCTTGTAGACTGTCTTGATTCCTGACATGGGTGCTGTTAACATTCAGGCTACCATGTGCTGTGTAAACCTAGGCATCCCTTTTCCTGCTGGCAATGTGGGCATGGTATTGAGCAGCAATATTGGGCCATTTCCCAACATTTTGAATCATGGATGTAGAAGCACAATATCCCACAATCATAAAATTGAGCTTTAATTGAATTTGATATACGTATGGATATGTGTGTACTCTAAAATGTAGTCATTAGCTGTAAGAAAAATATGTTTTCCATGCAATTGCAATGCAGACAATTGGATTTCAAATATGATTCCCCCCGATGATTTTATGCCTGAAGCAACAGTTCCAAGGATTGGGAAATTACTTGTTTTCTGCCTTTTCCCAAAATATCAGTTTGTTAATATCTACTATTTCTTACTTAAATAGGATTACTTACTAAGTTGTTCTATAATATTGCTGCCAAGTCATTGCTTAATAGTTCTATGTCTTAGAGACAACAACACGTTTTCTGACATTTTTAAAATACTTTCTTCTACATTCATTGGCGCCATTGTTAAGGGTTGCAGTGTGTTCTTTTTCATTCAGAGAACTGCCAACTTTCACATAGTTGAATTTTCACCAATATATTACTTTATGTAAAATTTCTATTTTTCAGACTTGCATACTTGTTACCTCTGGATTTTCACTTTATTTGGGGAATGTTTTTCCATCTGAAATGGATTACTTGCGGTGTGCAGCAGGTTCCGTAAGCATTACTTTTAATTGCTGTAGATATCTGAAAATAAAAATTGGGAACATAATTTGTAGTATATTCATATATTTCATACAGGTCTTATATCATTTTAGCCTAATTAAAATTGCCAACATGAAAACACTTACCTGACCTAATTCTTGGCTGTTTGCTACATATAAATAGTTTTCTTTGGTAGAAATTGCAGTATTTTATCAGATATGCATTTATGGCTTAAGTCTATTCACTAAGCCCCCGAAGAGAGCTCATGCTAACTCACTGAGCTCTATAGCTTCCATTTTGCCCAGCCAAGCAACCATTTCACAACAAGGCATGACAAAGAAATGTCTGTGTTCCAGATGGGTTCTATAAAGTTCCAGTAGTGGCTTCCTGTGTTCAGATAGAACAGTGTGATTCTTCTGCCATAAGTCCCATGCTGAAGGGAAATATTTATTAGTCCTGAAATTCTGTTTTCAGTTGTTATCTTAATTTTTGTTTCTTTAATTTCCCCCCAGTGTATACCCTCAGCAGCAGTGAGTTTTGCCATAGCCAGAAACAAAGTTAATGTGGTATGTTATTTATATTTTCAATATCTGTTAATATTTAAGTAGTTAGACTGCATTAATTAAAAAATAAATGCTTGTGCTGTTTTTGTAGATACCCAATTTTCAGATTCTGTTCGTTTCTACATTTGCGGTTACAACAACATGTTTAGTTTGGTTTGGATGCAAACTTGTGCTGAACCCTACAGCTATAAATGTGAGTTGTACACAACAAAGACCATTTCTTTCCTGTTTAATGTTGAGTTTGTTTTTAATGATATATAGAATCATTAAGGAGTTTACTAGGCATTACCTGAGCAATGTCATATTATCTATCTATCTATCTATCTATCTATCTATCTATCTATCTATCTATCTATCTATCTATCTATCTATCTATCTATCTATCTATCTATCTATCTATCTATCTACTATCTATCTATCTATCTATCTATCTATCTATCTATCTATCTATCTATCTATCTATCTATCTATCTATCTATCTATCTTATCTATCTATCTATCTATCTATAAGGGAATTACAATTTTAGAGTATAAATTGATTTGATAGAGGAAGTTAGTTCCACAGATTTCACAGAAAACAATGCTACTTAAGTTGGTATTAATTAAATTTACACATTGATTTCCGTGAGACCTGACTGTTGACCAACTTAATCTAAGTTCAGCCCAAAGTTACTTTCTGGCCATGAATTTCTTTCCTGAGCAGAATTTTATTGTTCTGTCTTTTGAATGTTTTATTGCTCTTTCACTTGATTTCTTAGTATTTGATCATCTGTACACCACAGAAAAAGCATTATATAGCTCCTTGATTATTGCTCTTTGGATCTTCTCCTTTGGAGCCAAAAACATTGAATCCTATCTTAATATATAATAAAATAAAATGATTCTCTCCTCCTCCCCCATTTTTAATTGGCTCATTTTTAATCATTGATATGTTAAAAGTATGAAATTGTCTGTTTCTTTCTGTGCTATTTTGAATGAGCAGAATGCAACCCACAGATGATCAGAAATACTGCAGATTACTTTCATTAATCAAGGCTGAATTTGCAACAATTCCTCTGTTTCTAAACCCAGTACAGTATGTAAAAATACAATAGCTGAAATATAGAGGTGATTCAGAAGTTTCATTTGCAGCATCACAGTCATTGGGGGGAAAAACAGAATGGTGTTAGTTCTCTACTATAAGGGAAGTTGGTTGTATGAAATGGTTTTCTCTATATGATTTCAGTAAACGTTCAGCTGATGGAAAATCCCTGTTTATGAAGGACTTTACTTTAGACAGCTTGCATGGAGAGACACTTCATATTAAAATATTCGACAAAACCCAAAGAAAAGTAAAAAATAAAGAGAAAAACATTATGGCACCTTAAGGATTATTGTTGTTGTTTAGTCCTTTAGTCGTGTCCCCATGGACCAGAGCACCCAAGGCCCTCCTGTCTTCCACTGCCTCCCAGAGTTGGGTCAAATTCATATTGGTAGCTTCGGTGACACTGTCCAACCATCTCGTCCTCTGTCGTCCCCTTCTCCTCTTGCCTTCACTCTTTCCTAACATCAGGGTCTTTCCCAGGGAGTCTTCTCGTCTCATGAGATGGCCAAAGTATTGGAGCCTCAGCTTCAGGATCTGTCCTTCCAGTGAGCATTCAGGGTTGATTTCCTTCAGAACTTATAGGTTTGTTCTCCTTGCAGTCCAGGGGACTCTCAAGAGCCTCCTCCAGCACCACAATTCAAAAGTGTCAGTTCTTCGGTGGTCAGTTTTCTTTAGGGTCCAGCTCTCACTTCTATACATCAAAAACCATAGCTTTGACTATGCGTACTTTTGTTGGCAAGGTGAGATGTCTCTGCTTTTAAAGATGTTGGTGAGGTTTGTCATAGCTTTCCTCCAAAGAAGCAGACATCTTTTAATTTCATGGCTGCTGTCAACATCTGCAGTGATCATGGAGCCCAAGAAAGTAAAATCTGTCACTGCCTCCATATCTTCCCCTTCTACTTACCCGGAGGTGATGGGACCAGTGGCCATGATCTTAGTTTTTTTGATGTTGAGCTTCAGACCATTTTTTGCACTCTCCTCTTTCATCCTCATTAAGACGTTCTTTAATGCCTCCTCACTTTCTGCCATCAGAGTGGTATCATCTGCATATCGGAGGTTGTTGATATTTCTTCCGGCAATCTTAATTCCATTTTGGGATTCATCCAGTCCAGCCTTTCGCATGATGTATTCTGCATATAAATTAAATAAGTCGGGAACAATATACAGCCTTGTCGTACTTCTTTCCCAATTTTGAACCAATTAGTTGTTCCATATCCAGTTCTATATGTTGCTTCCTGTCCCACATACAGTGATGCCCCGCATGACGACAACATCGCTAAACGAAACCGCAGGACGACGACTCTTTGCGATTGCTATAGCCATTCGCAAAATAGGCATTTCAGTGGGGGAATTCCGCTTCATGACAATTTGGTCCGTGCTTCTCGGACGGTTTATTCGCACCACAACGATCTTTACAGCTGATAGTTGGCTTTGCAAAATGGCTTCTCGCTGTTTTCCGGACCCATGTTTCGGAAGACAGCGATTAAAAACAGCTGATTGGCACTCGCGAAATGGCTGCCCTATGGAGGATCTTCGCTGGACGACGAGGTATTTTCCCCTTTGGAACACATTAACTGGTTTTCAATACATTCCAATGGGGGGGGGGCATTTCATTTTCTTGGAATTGAATTTTGTTTTCAGGTGTCATTGGATTTAAGTGCCTTAAATAAATAAATAAATAAATAAATAAATAAATAAATAAATAAATAAATAAATAAATAAATAAATATCATCACCACGGGGAGGGGGGGCGATGATAACTTCCTCAATGGCTCAAGGGGGCGTTTCTTTCAAAAAGGTTAAGAACCACTGGTTTAGATTATACCTGACTAGCCCAGTGGTTTTTCCTACTCTCTTCAGTTTATGCTTGAATTTTGCTATGAGAAGCTGATGATCAGAGCCACAATCAGCTCCAGGTCTTGTTTTTGCTGACTGTATAGAGCTTCTCCATCTTTAGCTACGGAGAATATAATCAATCTGATTTCGGTATTGCCCATCTGGTGATGTCCATGTGTAGAGTCACCTCTTGTGTTGTTGGAAAAGAGTTTTTTTGATGACCAGCTTGTTGTCTTGACAAAACTCTATTAGCCTTTGCCCTGCTTCGTTTTGAACTCCAAGGCCAAACTAACCTGTTGTTCCTTCTATCTCTTGATTCCCTACTTTAGCATTCCAATCCCCTATAATGAGAAGAACATCTTTCTTTGATGTCAGTTCTAGAAGGTATTGTAAGTCTTCATAAAATTGGTCAGTTTCAGTCTCCTCAGCATAGGTGGTTGGTGCATAAACTTGGTTATTGTGATGTTGAACGGTCTCCCTTGGATTCATATTGAAATCATTCTATCATTTTTGAGATTATATCCCATTACAATTTTCCCACTCTTTTGTTGACTATGAGGGCTACTCCATTCTTTCTACAGGATTCTTGCCCACAATAGTAGATACGATAATCGTCTGAATTGTATTCGCCCATTCCTGTCCATTTTATTTTACTGAGGCTTCCCAGGATGCCAATGTTTATTCTTGTCATCTCCTGTTTGACCACATCCAGCTTCCCAAGGTTCACAGATCTTACATTCCAGGTTCCTATGCAGTATTTTTCTTTGCAGCATCGGACATTCCTTTCCCTTCCAGGCACGTCCACAGCTGATCGTCCTTTCAGCTTTGGCCCAATCACCTCATTAGCTCTGGAGCTACTTGTACGTGTCCTCCACTCTTCCTCAGTAACATGTTGGACGCCTTCCGACCTAAGGGTCCCATCTTCCAGTGTGATATCTTTTAGCCTTTTGTTTCTGTTCATGGGGTATTCTTGGCAAAGACACTGGAGTGGCTTGCCATTCCTACTCCAGATGGATTGCATTTAGTCAGAACTCTCCATTATGATCTGTCTGTAGAGAACTCAAATGTGCTTTACCATTCCTTTTTCTAAAGGGTATTTTAGAACTGTGCAGCTTGTCCAAGTTTACACAGGCTAGTACTGTAGTTCTATCAGGAGGCACAGTATCCCAACCTCTGGCTCCACAGCCACATACTCAATTGGCCGAGCTATCTAGCCAGCTGTACAGTTGGAACAGGTATTCTAAAATTATGAAAGGACATTGTTTGTTTCATTATGTCATCTCATCTTCTTGGCAAAGATATTGGAGTGGCTTGTCAATTCCTACTCCAAGTGGATTGCATTTAGTCGGAACTCTCCACTATGACCTGTCCATCTTGGGTGTCCCTGCACGGCATAGCCCATAGCTTCTCTGAGTTATTCAAGCCCCCTTCGCCACGAGGAGGCTGCAATCCATGAAGAAGACCTTAAGGATTAACTGCTGTATTTTAATGTGAGCTTTCATGGACAAGTCTACTTCCCCAGACTTGTCCACGAAAGCTCACCTTAAAATAGTCTTTAAGATACCATAACATTTTTGTCTGTTTTATTTTTTATTTTTCTTTGGGTTTTGCCTGATATGATTTCATATCTTTCTGTATAGAATGAAATTCATAAGCCTCCATTTTTCACGATCTGTGATTGTAAATGTAATGTTTGGATGTAGTGAAAGAGCAGGAGGACATTAAACAGTTCGATATAATTTTTTGTGAACCTATTTGTATTATTATTAATAATAACTAAATGAATTTAATGCATAGATTAATTTCAACTTGATTCTTCTAATTCTACTGGAAATTTTCATGGCAACTACTGTAATAATATCAGCAAGATCTAATGAGGAGTGCTGCAGAAGGAAGAAAGTAAGTTATTTCTTTCATTTAAAAAAAACCCCCAAATGCCTCTCTTTCAATCTGTTCTTTTCTTCCTACATCAGGAGAATCACTACTTCTCTGTAGTGGCCTCTGTTAATGCACACAAATGCGTTTGTTCTGCGCCTGCGCAGGACGTTCGGAACATTCAAGAACTTAGGATAAAAAAGAAACAATTTAGTCCCCCCAGGGCACTTGCTCCGCCTCCTCAACGTTCCAAATGGGTAAGACGTTTGGAACAGCAGAGTGAGCAAGGAAAGTAATTCCTAGCATCTTAGCTATTTTTCCTTCAAATCTGCCTTTTCTTGTTTTCTTTTTACTCCTCAGGGCGATAGAACCACTAGTTGTTTGCCTTTTTCGACGTTCTACCATCCTTCCCACCCTTCCCCCCGCCAGATTCCCCCTTTTATTTTTCTCCTGTGTTCTTTTCCTCATTTTATGGCCGCTCGGGGTTTCAAAACGGGCTCCGTTTGCCTGACAAAGATCCCGCTAATGGACTGACACTATCAGTGCTTGTTTTGTCTCAGGGAATCCCACCAAACCCATTTGTGCACCGCATGAAGGAGCCTTTCTAAACAGGCGATTAAGCTGCGGCTTCAGCGATTGAGATCCTTTCTGTACAAAAAGACTTTGAACCCTGATATGGAGGTAACATCCCTCCCTTCACCTAACCCTCCTCGCCCAGAGGTTACTAAAACAGCTCCTAGCTCAGTCGAGCAGCCTCTATCTAGCACAACCTCTTCACTTACCAAATCAAAGAACTCCAATAAGCCGACTGTGACGTGTGCCATGACGTCACCTGCCTGTCTTGGCTAAGGCTGGAGTTTCCTAGCCTATGGCAGGGCAGGAGGTGGGTCTTAAAGGGGTGGAGTTTTTGTATATAAGGGGGGAGTGCAAAGAGGGAAAAGGTTTTTAATTAGAGAGTGGGAGAGTGAGAGAGGGCTTGAAGGAAGATCTGTACACAGGGTTAGATATAGGTTAGGTAATTGAGTAATTGAGTGCTAAGTAACAAAGAACTGTGCAGGGTTAAGGTCTGAGAAATATAGTGTGACAAGTGATTCTTTCATTCAGTGATTTACATTTTATTTGTGTATACAATAAATCATCATTTTTATTTTGAAATCCATAATAAGTCTGATGTGTCAGGTTTATGTGTGGTTGGTGGCAGCGAAGTTGTGTGTGTGTGTGAGAAGGATCGTGACCTGTCATCTCTTGTGGTGACGTAGGAGGAGGTGGCAGTCGTGACACCGACTAAACCAGCCTCTGCTAAGGCTCAAGCACAGTCCGATGATCCTACAAAAGAAGAAAAAGGACAAAGATAAAGTTAAGAGGCAAAAGAAGGCTGCCACACTGAATACCAGACCTCTTCCCATGGTTCCTATATCGGTGGAGGATTCTTCAAGGGAAGCCATTGGGCTTTCAGACAGGGAGGATCGTACCATTCCTTCAGCCCAAACATCTCATGCATTTCTAAGCATGTCTCCAAGCTTGGGCCAATTTGGGGCTGATGCACTTTCCAGCCCAGCCGTAGCCCCTCTTAGCCCTTGATCTCCAGAGTGGGCAGATACAGAATCTGAATCTGAGCAGGAGTCCGCGGTATGCACTCCTAAAATGAGAACAGAGAAGCACAAACACGCCTCTCCATACCAGCCTTACAGACTCGAGCAGCAATGCTACTATCCAGAAGGTCCACCTCAATATGGTCACCCGTATTTTGATAGATACCATCCACTTCCATACCATGGAAACACCTATCAGGAGGATTTCAGAGGTCTGATCTACCCTCCGCTGCCCTGGTATCCTTCCACGGCGCCTTCATTGGAAACACAAGAGGATATTCCTATGTACCGATTCGAGCCATCCTGAAAAAGGGGAACAGTACTGGAACCTACCATACCTACCAAGCCATCTAAACCCTCTAGGAACCATCCTACGGTACAGGCTACTACGCTTTACTCTGGCCTCTATGGCCTTGATACCAAACCTTTCTCTGCATCTACTCAATCTGAGACTGAACCCCTACCAAGGGCTCCAGTACCGAGACTACATCGCTCAACCTCATTGGTCTCTCAATCATCTTGTGAGGACAGCTCATTGTCCTCTGGCAAATCTGACATGCCCGGCACGGTGCCACTGACAGCCAACCCCAGTCGCCTCCAGCGGACTACGCATCATATGCTCAACTTATATTTCGCACGGCTAAGACCTTGCAACTCAATGCACAAATATCCCAACAGGAAAAGGATTTAATTTTTCATGATATGGTACAGAACAAAACACCTCCTCCTAGCTTGAGCCTCATTCCAGCGCTCCTTGACCTTGTCAAAAATTCTTGAGATAAGTCGCCCCTGACTCTGCAAATGCCACGAAAAATCGAGCACCATTATAAAACGCACGGGGTCGGATTCAGACTTTTTAGTCAGGCACCCTATGCCTAATTCCATTGTGGTTGAGGCCACCCGATATAAATCCCATAGCAGGTCCTCCACAACACCTGTGAATAGGGAAGGATGGAAAATTGACTCTCTCGGAAAGAAGCTTTACTCTGTTGCTGCACTAATGATTAGAATTTCGAACTACCAGGCTGCAGTGTGCGCCTACCAGAAACACTTGTGGGATAAAATTCTCCCTACACTACAAGCTCTGCCAGATCCATCAAAGACTGAGGCTTTCAATATTTACACAGAGGCTAACACCCTCACCAAACAGCAAAGGGTAGCAGCGAAACACAGTGCTGACACCACCTCCAAAGCCATGCTAACTTCAATATAGTTAGACAACATGCTTGGCTCAGGGCGGCTAATATCCTGGATGATACCAAGACCAAGATTGAAGATCTCCTTTTTGATGCTGCAGGGCTGTTTAACACCAAGACTGACACTGTAATGGAAAACATCCATAAGATGAGGAATACTGCTAAGTTGTACATACCGTACCAACCGTATAAATACCAGAAACCCTCTTACAAGAAGCCCTTCTACCAACAAGTGCCTCCATACCAGCCTTTTCGATACAACAAGCAGCAACAGCATGAACGGGCTTACCAGCCGCCACAAACCAACCCCCTGCAATTCAAGCAACAATCCTATTCTTGCTCCATACAGCCTTTTTGTAAACAGCAATGTAGGGGTAAGCAATTCACCTGATTACCCCCGTAACTCCACGAGACTTTTCCCGTTCCTCCCAGAATGGCAGAGGATTACTACCAATAAGTGGGTTTTGGCCATCACTGAGAAAGGCTACCTGATAGAATTTTCACGAATCCCTCCACCAAACTTCATTAAGGCCACCCCTTTTTCATTTCTTCTACAGGAGGAAATATCATCTCTCCTTCGAAAAGGGGCTATATTTAAAGTCCCATCCTGTGACTTGAGCGAAGGCTTTTTCTCTCGCTATTTTGCTGTCCCTAAGAAGGATGGCGGTATTAGACCCATTATGGACCTTAGAGACCTTAATGAATACATACGCTACAGAAAATTCTGTATGCTAACACTTGACTCCATTCTCCCTCTTCTATCCAGGGGAGCTGGTTTGTCACCATCGACCTCAAAGACGCTTACTTTCACATATCAATCCATCCGTCTCATTGTCAATTCCTCAGGTTTCGATTTCAACACACAATAGTTTGCTGCCCTCCTGTTTGGGCTTTCTACAGCCCCCAGGACATTCACAAAGTGTATGACCCCCATGGTCGGCCTACCTATGTAACAAGGGAATAAAGTCTTCCCCTATATTGATGAGTGGCTTCTAGTTGCCAAATCCTATCACGACATCATTGTGGCCACGAAAACCACACTCAACGCCTTAAGCAAATTAGGCTTGGAAATAAATTGAGAAAAATCCCATCTGGATCTGTCACAGCTTGTCAACTACATAGGGGCCCAACTAAATGCCATACAAGCAAGGGCATTTCTACCACTCCAAAGAATCTTAAAGCTCCAAAAGGCAGTAAGGCAATTTCAGCCCTTTAGGACAGTGACGGCTCTCGATACTCAGCATCTGCTCGGTCTTATGGCCCCCACAACATCAGTTGTCCCCCATGCCAGATTAAAACTCCAAACTCTTCAAGTCTGGTTCCTCTCCCAATTCAACCCCTATATGGACAGTCCACTAAAATAGTTGAGGGTACCACCAAAGACAGAAAGAATGCTCCACATAAACCAGCTAGAAATGCTAGCCATCATGAAGGCATTTCAAGCCTTTCTCCCACGTATTGAGGGAAGAGCAGTACAGCCCATGACCAACAACACCATGGCCATGCATTATATAAACAGAGAAGGGGAAACTCAATCCCTGCCCCTCCTTCGCTTAACCATAAAGTTTTGGGAATGTGCCACAGCCACCATGTTTTCCCTCAAGCAATCCACATTTCTTCAGAGGACAACTACTTGGCGGACCACCTCAGCAGGTTCCCCACCAGGATGCACAAATGGTCCCTCAATGACATAGTCTTCCAAGACATCTGTCTCAAGTGGGGCCAACCTATGATAGACCTCTTTGCATCCCATCTCAACACCAAGTGCCCCAACTTTTGCTCGAGAGCAGGCATAGACACGATGTCACTTGGAGATGCTATCTGGAGAACAATCTTACATTTTCCCTCCGATACCTCTACTGCTCAAGACAATAACCATAATTTTTCAGTACCAAACAGACACAATACTCCATCGCCCCATGGTGGCCGCGACAACCATGGTTCACCTACCTCAAGGAGATAACGGAGGAGATGTTTCACCTACCTTCAATACCATCGCTCCTCTCCCAGAACGACAGAGCCATTCTCCATCCGGCTGTCTGATCACTATACCTCACGGCAGGGAGGATAACCCCAAATTCCGCGCAGTCTTAGATCAGGCTTGGAAACCGTCTATATCTCACCTATACCAGAACAAATGGTCATCTTTCATAAAATTTACTCAATCTAAAGGTCTTACCTCGATTCCTACATCCCTCACAACCATACTTACCTTCATTCTGCATCTCTTTAATCTTGGACTTGCGTACTCCACTATTAAAGTATATATCTCTGTGATAGTGGCTCACCAACCTCCTGGATCCCACTCCGCTAAGCTTTTTTGTCACCCCACTGTCAAAAGATTTCTTAAAGGTCTGCAGAACGTCAGAATCATCTCAACAAATCATACCTCAGTGGTCACTTCAACTCGTCCTTGAAGCTCATACAAAACCACCATTTGAGCCTATGGCAACCTGTAGCGACAAATTGTTATCTCTCAAGACTGCCTTTCTTGTGGTGATAACTTCTGCAAGGAGAGCCAGCGAGCTATCCACTCTCAGATCGGACTCCCCATATCTCCAAATGCACTCTCATAAAGTTACTCTATAACCTGATGTATCTTTTCTACCCAGGGTGGTATCAGACTTCCACTTAAATCAACCTATCATACTTCCAACGCTGTTTCCATCCCCATCCACACCGATTGAGCGCAAGCTCCACGCACTGGATGTTAGAAGGGCCCTCGCCTTCTACCTTGATAGGGCTAAGCATTCCAGACGCTCCTTTTGTCTATTCCAATGCTACCACGGACCCAACAAGGGTGCACCTGCCTCTCTACAGACAATATCAAGGTGGATAGTACAGATGATACAGTTGGAATACCAGCTTGCAGGCAAGTTGATACTGAACCATTTGAAAGCGCACTCTACCTGAGCTTTCTCTACATCGACTGCTCTCCACAGAGGCATACAGATATAGAACATCTGTAAAGCAGCTACCTGGTCCAATCCTCTGACATTTATGAAGCACTACCGCCTCAATGTCAGAGCCAAGCATGATGCTGCTTTTGGAAGGGTGATGCTGTCATCCTTGCTATTGTGACAGCCCTCCATCTGGTGAATAAGCTTGCTATTCACCCAAGTGTGTGCATTCACAGAGGCCACTATGAAGAAAGTTAGGTTACCTACCTGTAACCATGGTTCTTCTAGTGGACCTCTGTGAATTCACACATCCCTCCCTTCCTTCCCTCTTTCCATCATGTTCACTTAGTGTCGATACCTACTCTTGATACCGGCGGACACAGGGAACTGAAAGGAAGGTTGAGGAGGCGGAGCTAGCGCCCTGTGGGGGAACTAAATTGTTTCTTTTTTCCCCCTAAGCTCTAGAATGTTCTGAAAGTCCTTCGCAGGTGCAGAACAAACCCATTTGCGTGAATTCACAGAGGTCCACTAGAAGAACCATGGTTACAGGTAGGTAACCTAACTTTTTCGTTAAAAGAATCTAGGGCCTCAACAAAAATATAAATACTGTGATTCTTTAGTATGGGATTGTGGGAATGGCAGAATTGGCAGCATCCAAGGAGCTGATTTCCTGTACATCAGTGATCCCCAACCTTTTTGACACCGCAGACTGGTTGTGGAGGAATGGGGTCTGTGCACGGGGGGGGGACACAAGGCACCTCTGCAATCACGCGCATGCATGAAGGGGTGGCACGTGGTCGTGTGGGCACTCGTATGCATGCACAAAGGGGTGGGGGTGCTCACACGGTGCATGCACACATTTTATGTGCATGAGCAAAGGGGCTGTGCGGGGGAAGAGATCTGTCTCCTCAGCCCAGTCCAGCCAAGGCCATGGACTGGCACCAGGCCGTGGACCAGGGGTTGGGGACCTCTGCTGTACATGACTGAATATTGTTCTTTGGGGCGTGTTTCAGATAGGGAGTAAGTTATGGATATGTTATTCAAATCTACATTTTATTTGAGCTCTACAGGTTTGTATTCAGTCAGCTGGCCAGCAATAAGATTGAGGGCCTCCTCAATACAAGCTGTTGACTCACTGCTTTACATTGTAGCCAAGTGTCATTTCTTCAGTACAGTGGTGCCTCGCATAACGATTTTAATTGGTTCCAGAAAAAAACGTTATGTGAAACATCGTTATGTGAAACACCATTTCCCATAAGAATGCATTGGAAACCAGTTAATCCGTTCCAATAGGCACGGATTGCCGTCCTTAAGCGAAAAAACCCATAGGAAACATCGTTAAACGATACAATGTTTCCTCCATTGGAATGTATTGAAGCTGACTCAATGCATTTCAATGGCTTTGCGAAGTCAATTCGTGCAAATTTAAGTGTGTCATAAAAGGGTCAAAAATGGTTTTAAATGCTTGGATTAGCTTCTGCACCCTCTAAAACGGATGCAAAAGTTAATTTGGCTTTGATCTGGCTCTTCGTTAATTTATGGTGAATTTTTCCCCCCAACTTTTGACAGCTGTCAAAATCTGACAGCTCCATTGTTTCCTATGGGGGAAGAAAAAATTCACAAAAAATTAACGAAGACTCAGCTACTGTTCTAAATGCTTGGGTTCGTTAGAGGACCCCCTAAGTCATGGGCAAACCTGATTTGGCTTTGATCTGAACTTTCGTTAATTTATGGTGAATTGTTTTCTCCCCCATAGGAAAGCATGGAGCTGTCAGATTTTGACAGGTCCATTGGTTCCTATGGGCCAGAAAAAAAAAATTCACCATAAATTAACGAAAAGTCAGATCAAAGCCAAATCAGGTTTGCACATGACTTAGGGGGGCCTCTAACGAATCCAAGCATTTAGAACCGTTGTTGACCCTTGTAAGACACTTTTTAAATTGAAAAAAGAAACATCGTTAAGTGAAGCAGGGGCCCTAAAATCGCATTCGTTATGCGAAGCATGGTCCCAAACTTCGCTAAGCAAAAATCGCCCATAGGCAACATCGTTATACAGTGCATATTATTTTCTAAAAAAACATCGTTATGTGAATTCATCGCTAAATGAGGCACTCGTCAAGCGAGGCATCACTGTATTGTCACAAGAAAAGATATACTAAAATATTTATGAAATGTGAGGGGGTGTACTCACTTCTGTGATATACTGTATGTATTGTGAATGGAATGAATTTGAATATGAGTATTCCTTTCACTGAATATAGACACCAATTCATATTACTAATATAAATAATTTCATCCACTGATATCTTATAAAAATTGACTAATAACTCTTGGGATAGTATTTGCTTATTTTTCCTTGCTGTTTTGCCCCTTTTTAGACATCTGTGTATGATAGTACCAGCACACTGAAGAGCATCTGCTTTCCAGCAAGGATCCTAAAATCCTATTCAGTAAGAAAGTTATTTTTCCTAAAAAAACAATGTTATGAATCTATTGCTATATCAAAATTCCAAATGAATTTCTTTTTTCCTTCCAAAGGTAATTGAAGTGATTATTGGAATTTCTTCCGTGTTTGGTGGAATAATAGCTTTGAATATGGATGTGTTAGTTTCCGGCCCATATCTTTCAGTAACATTCTTTTGGATCTTAGTGGCTGTAAGTATGATATAATTCTGACTTTCTACAAAACTGTATTCCCATTTTGCTAGAATCTTATTGATTTTTGCCTAAGGTTTGCTTGATGAGGCCCATAGCAGCTAATTGACAAGTAACCAGGATGTCTCCTGTTACGCAATCAGGTGTGTAATCAGGTATGTAACCAAAACGTGCCCTAGCTCCTCATCAGTTAACCACAGTAACATATGCAGACCTTATGCCAACACCAATAGGATTCTGGCCATCAAGTATTTTTTAAAAGTTAAATTCACTGTCCTGAGCTTATATATTAGAAGATTAAACCGAGGTGTTCTAATAATTTCAGTAAATCTTTGATCCACTAGAGGGGAAAAATATTCTAATGATAATTGACATAAAATACCTAAACTGTTTATTATCAAGTACATTTATAAGCATTTGATTTATAGTGTAATGAATGTGTCTTATATGTATTAGGCTGGAAATACTTTTATGTCCAAGTATACAGGAAATTTGTAAAAACAAGATGAATGCCTCCCACCTGTTCTATTGTGCTCAGAACTCTGGCATCAGAAAGAATGTGATTAAGTAAGAATAAGGGAATGCAAAACAGAGAGTAGTATGAATAGCTTACTAAATATCTACCAAAATAATATTTGAAATGAAGAAGAGTTTTGCAATACTATCTCTTCATAAAGGCTGTAATCCAGTGCATGTTTACCTGGTATGAGGCCCATTAAATTAACTTCTGGGGGAACCTGCGTGTGAGTGCCAGGTCAATCTGTTATGCAAATAATGGGTTCTCTATAATTTCACATCATAGGACAGTCTATGATTTCTTCTTATATGACAAAATGGAAATCCTAAAATTGGCATAGAATATTTGCTAATATTCACTACAGAAACACAGTTATCTTTTATTCCATGTTAATGTGAACATTTTATTTGATTTGGGTTCCTTTTAGTGTTTCCCCAGTGCCATTGCAAGTCATGTTGCTGCTGAATATCCAAGTAAATGCTTGGTAAGAGTTTTATTTAAAGAGTTGCTTAGTTTGTAGCACTTCATTGATCAGATGTTATCATTCATATTTTTTGCTGGTATAATGAAAATAGGTCAAAATAGAGTTCTGTGGAAGCAAAAGAGTGTAACTACCCTGGTCTCTTTTATTTCAAATGCTTTTCATTCAGGCCTCAGAGAGAGAGAGAGAGGATATTTTTACAGCTGCTAAAAGTGGCACAATGGAGTCATCATTGCCCACCGTATGCACATTGATCTGATAATGATCATCCCCATGATAATGCTTTTACAGTTTTTATATTTTTTAAAAAATGTATGTGATCAGAGGTTGTAACAGAACAAGAGTTCCAGTATTTCTTGCTTCTAGAATTTTTTTAAAAAAACGTTTACTTATTGTAGATTTATTCTTTCCTTTCTCTACAATGATCCCATCTACTTCACTGGATATGTAAATCATAATCATAAAGATAAATTGCTGTTGGTTTCCATTCACATATGAAACAAAACCTCTACTTTTAAAATTTTTATATGTCACATTTCATGACTGTTGCAGCACTTTAGTATATGTTACCCCAGTGGTCTATTTTATGTTGTGATGTAGGATGAAACTGGCATCTCAAGGCATTTAACATGCAATCCTATACATGTCTACTGAAAAGTAAACCCCATTGAATTCAGCAGTACTTGTTCAGAGGTAAGTATGTATAGGATTGCAGCCTAAATGAATCCAATAGTCATACTTGGTCGAAGTCTTGGTGCATATTGTTTTATTTTCTTAGTCTTTCCCTCTTGCTAGCTGTTGCCAGAATCTACTGTGCACATTGAACACAGCACTTTGTGTTCAAATATCTAGGTATTTAAAATACCTTTGGTACTCTGAATATACACTTACTAATGTCAGTTCTGAATTATAAATATACCTATACAAACTTAGATGAAGCTTGAATGTTGAATTTTTAAAAAGAAAAGTATTCTAAATTTCCTTTACATGAGCTTATGAAGATATATAAAAACACAGTTGTAAATCTTTTGTTGCTTAACAATGTGTCATCTGTTCATGTCCCAATTTTATCTTTAATTTAGGTAGAAGTCCTGATTGCCATAAGCAGTGTTACATCCCCATTACTATTCACAGCCTCAGGATATTTGTCCTTCAGCATAATGCGTGTTGTTGATATCTGTAGAAACTATCCACCAACAGTTAAGGTGTGTATTGTTTTCTGAATTCCCTAACTCAAAAATAGTCAATGTATCCTGTCAGCATATAGTGAAGGCTTCAGAGTTGGGTGCAAAATACTCATTTCCACTTTGACAAACCCTCTGTTTTATAAATGCTGTAATTCAGTTTTGCTGGCTTACATTAGTTTTTCAAACTTTCATACTTACGGGCAAAAGTAAGCACACTGTGCTGAGCACAGGCAGGAACGTTTGAAAACTGAGGAAAAGAAATTGTGAGCTGGAACCTTAATGTGCAGCAAGATGATAGTGGAAATGGGAAACCAGGATGTTTTAAATGTATTTAAACAAATCACCCAGTGTTTGGCAGGCAGTCTACAGTTTAGTGCAGAATTTGTAAAGACATAAGGTAGACCAAATCAAGGCAAGTGAGTGTATGTTGCATTTTGTAAGTGATGCCACTTGTGCAATTTCTAATTCTTAGGATGTTTTAGAGATGTTTTATCAGTTGATTGGAATCTACTTATGTTTCAACAGTGGAAATATTTGCTTACAAATTTGCATACTGCCAAACATGTCTGTTTCAGGAAATAATTTCAGTCATACTGTGAAACATGACATGTTTATTCTTGCCAGCTGCAGTAACTGAATATGCTAGAATATCTAATCACAGAGGTCCAAAATAAATGTCTTAGTCACTTAAAACAAGGGATTTGGAAACACTGTGTATTTATGTCTTCTGCAGCTATTAGACTACTGTTACTGTTTAGATTTATACAGAATATTTACTTATGTATAAAGTACAACATACTACCCAGTTTGGTGTAGTGAGGGACCAGGGCATGGGTGCAAGTCTCTGCTCAGCCATGGAGACTTACTTTGGGGGTGTCACTGGTGAAACCACTACCTAAATGTACCACACTTACCTTGAGAGACCTCATCGGCCAGGTTGTGGTCAGGGATTGCATGCTGGCATTAAGTGTGGCCAGCCACAGTCAGGTGTGGATGGGGCTGCAGGTTTTCTTTCTTTTTCCTCCATGTAAATGAATATATGCAAACACATGTAGTCTTGCTGCCCATCAAGTGCTCAAGTGCTCTTCTCACAGACGTTTACATGGATGTACTGTTCTATTTTAGTTCAGTTTTTTTGGACTCCAAATTCTAGAATTCCCCATTCTGGGAGTTCCATGTGCCAGACCCTTACCTAAATTGTGCTTACCTGGAGAAAGACTGGTTTTGGAAGGTCTAATGGTCTAGGACAGTCTGAGCTCTGGCCTAGCTGCTTGTTAGAAAAGGTAATTGCTCGAGTGCTATTTTGAGCCTCATCTTTCCCCAATACACACACTCCATCTGCCTCTCTCTCCCTCTCTCCTCTCACCCCCCCACACACCATTAGACTTCTTCTTACCTCCCCTCTTCATCAGGCTGTTAAATCTCTCCTATCTGGACAGCACTTCTCTCCCTGAGAGAAGATATATTTGTTTTAGGACATCTTTCTCAATCTCTGATTCTTGAGAAACCATGAGGTACAGTGGAATAGAGAAAAGAAAGACTTTCTAGTGCCCCCATACACCACGTTTGCCACTCAATAACGTTATTCTTTTGTGAAGTCAGAGTCTGATGGGCTCAATAGCAAAAAGTCAATTTTAGACTCCAAAGAAGAAGAAGAGGGGGGGGGGAAGAGGAGAAGTGGAGTAGTGGTGTCTGGGGCACCCATGGGGAGACAGATGAACTCCTGCTAAGGGCTCCATCTGGTTGTTGAAATGCCCAAAATGATATAAACAATATGGCAGATTTACCTTGTTGTCTCCAGTTGTTGAAGAAAAGTAGCTGTTTTAATAAATTCAGAAAATATAAATCAAATAAAACTCTGTGGATGTTGACCACAGAATACTTGACCATAATGCTTGTACATGTATGTATATTTCTCTAAAATGTGCTGCAGGTATTTACCATCCTAAGCTTTGTCCTAAGCTTTGAAGTGATTATACATAAGCAAATTATAAATGGGCAGATACTCAAAAGGGTTGCAATTTTTGCTACACTCTTCCAGCTACAGCAGCAAATTTTGTGCATGTGGTATTGTTATTCTGGAGTGAAAATGGAAGTTCTTGGGAGAAAAACTATGTAGAGTTGAGCTCTAGCATGCTCACAATGGCTGAAATCCTGTTGCATACTGTAGTAAATTGCAACTTGCATAGGCCCAGTTAATGAGAGGGGATTCTCTGTATTTTCGATTGATTCAGTGGGCTGCTCTAATGATTTAATTATGCCAAGCAACAGGATTTCAGCCTATAAATGGCATTTTCAGAGTGGTTAGGCTATTTCAGAAGGAGTGACCAAAAGCGCCTTTTCTTTAAGTTAAAATAAATGGGAAGAGACTGTCAAGGCACACCTCCATATGGTAACTAAATATTTACAGTAACTTTGCAGAGGAAAATACTTTTTTCAGGTAGAGTGTCCTGTCAATCACATCCTGCCTCAAGATAAATGTATCTGGCCTCTGATTGTCTTATCAAATTTTAATAAAGTTGTGATGCAACTTTCCAAACAGTTTAAAAACTGTAAGAAATTCATCTATGTTAACATCAGAGTGTACAGAGGGATAGATTCAGAGTTCCATAAGCAGAGATTTGCTGAAGTAATGTGGCACCTTTGAGTATCCGCTCCTCCTTCTTCCTCCTGTCCCCCACACTGGATTGTAATTCAGTCTGTTCTTTTTACTATTTTGAAAGCTTGGAAACTTTACCTCATTACACATCTAAGTATGAGCAAATGTTATAAATTGGGTTTAACTGTTTATCAAACATGTATATAAAGGTATATAAAGTACATGCTGTGCCTGAGCTCTTGCCCTTTCAGTTTGGGTCAGTAAGAAATGATAGCACAAAATGATGTGGGCTCTCCAACCAATATCTGGAGAACTGACTGGCCTTAAAGAATTGTAAAATCGGCTATCTTTAAAATAGAGGAATGAATAATATTTGATAGTGAAAGTGTAGAAAAACCAAAGCATTGTCAATCCAGCTGTTCTGATCTTACAGAGTAGAAAATAAGTGGTATACCTAAAACTTGTTATATGTATTGATTTCTAGCAATCTTATGATGTACTTCTCCTGCTTCTAATGCTGATGCTGTTAATTCAAGCTTTCCTCACCACTGGCACTGTTATATTGTGTGTTAGCTTCAAAGCAAAAATGAAAATATGTAATTCACTGTGGGGTATGCCACAAATAAACAAACAGGACTACAAAACAACAGAGGTAAGTGATAATTACACCTTAAAATTGGTCCAAATATGGAATGTTTTTGATTATTCAGGTCTATTGTCATCGCAGTGATACCTTTAAATGTGTGAAGAAGTGAGTGAAAGATTTATCATTATGCCTTAAATCAAACATTGAGTAGATCTGGTCTGCACCTAGCCAGCTGATAGAAGTTTTTCCAGCTTTATTTTGTAATCTGTCTGAAACCTGCATACTCAAAATGTAGATGAAATTTATCAGTGCAGCCCTCCTACCCTGTTTCCCCTAAAGTAAGACCTAACCTGAAAATAATCCCTAGTTAAGTGAAACCCAGCCCGCCACCATTGTACATCATTGTGCAGCAACCAGAAGATGACATGGCTGTATTTGAATAATGTAGATTGTTGTACATGAAAAAAATTAAACATCCCCTGAAACTAAGCCATACAGCATTTTTGGAGCAAAAATTAATATAAGACCCTGTCTTATTTTCAGGGAAACATGGTAAAACAAATGGGCAAATGTTCTCATACTTAATTTGCTTTAATAGCTTATTTCGTACCCAAATGGAGCTGTGGGCAGCGTTATCTGAGGTGACAACCCTGTGATGTATTAGGTGGGTTGTGATATTAAAAGAGAGGACGAAGAAACCCCCCTCCTCTATGTTTATCTTCTTTTAAATATTTGCCTTACTAGCGCAATTCTAATACTATGCTAGAGTGATGCATTGTTGTTTCAGAATGCCACTTATTTTATTTAACAACACAAAAAGGAAACTCATAGTGGCTGACTGAATGGCGGCTTGGAAAAGGTGAAGAAGGGGACTATGTTAGCTCCCTGGGCTCCTCCCCCTCAAGGCAGTGCAACCCCAACAGAGCCTCAGCTGAGGAGAAAGGCATGAAAAGCGGTGGGAGGGGTTTTTAAATCCTTTCTGTCTCTCCAAGCTTCATCCCAACTTTTTTCTCTTGTGCCAGTTCTGCTGATGCCACTGCCATGAGCTTGCCATGCCAGTGTTTCATTACCCATGAGTAAACCAGTTAAACTTGCATGTGACTAAGCCTGGTAAACCTTGCTCATGAGTAAACTGGCAATCCAAAAACCTGTGTGGACCCTTCTCATGAGAACAAACATCTCGAGTGTAAATGGAAGAATAGCTCAAGTAAGAGATGAAATAGATTACACTAAAGATAAGAACCTTTTAAGCACAAACCAGACTACTCCAAATTCCCCCATCTGGACAGGCCCATACTTGGTAAAATACCATCTACAGTAAGGTTGTGTTAAAAATATTATTAGTAGATGTTTGGGACTGTTGATCAAAGTAGAATGCATTTATGAATTATATTTTAAAGTATGTATGAAGCTACAAAATATTAGGGATCTAAAAATGTTTCACATTATTTTATTTTTTTTAGATATCCAATAACAGCCTGAAGGATTTTGACAAAGAGAAAGCTTGGAAAGCTGTTGTAGTGCAGATGGCTCAATAATCTGGATGCAGGAGATTGAAACAAACAAATTGTGGGAGTTGACATATTCTAACCTTTAATTTGCAAATTAACTTTGTATGCTAATGCTGTGGTCGCATTCACAAAGCAACTTACTCCAGAACAGCTCCATTTACTATTTCAGAGTGATTTGAAAATAGCAGGAGCTAGCCAGAATTTTAGAGATAAACAGTTACATCTTATTTCAAAAGTAATCAACTTTTTTCAATAGAACATGTGGTTCATTGTTGTATTTTAAAGATTGGATTTGTAGTATTTTATTTCAATTCACATTGCTAATAAGAAATTAAAACCATATGAATAATTAAATGTAATAGTTATGTGGTTGGTCTTGATTATTGCAACATACAGTACTAGTATTCAGTTGATGAAAAAGTCTAAGCAAGTTTGTAAAATTCTCATATAATCATAGATACTTTTGCCTGTAAATGTAGGAGTTGTAAAGTTCTTAAATTCTATTACTTTTGTATACAATAAAGGTTTTTATTACAAGACAGCTCTGGATATTGGCTAACATTGATTTATACAAAACCAACAGCATTCATGTTAAGTGTGGTTGCAATGCAGTGGATAGTTTGCTTGTGAATACACACACGCACACACACACGCACACACACACACACACACACACACACACACACACTCTGTTGCAAACCAGGGAACTTCCATTAGCCCTTGCTGAGCTGGCAGGTAGGTGTGATGAAGGTGGAACTATCATCTTAAAGACTGTTTTCCCACACCGTGAAATAATGAGACAAGATTATGAAGTAGGACCAGTCTCCATTTTGAAGCTCCCACTTAGTTTTGTAATACCAAGGGAACAGTGTTCATACTGAAAGGGAGAAGCCTGTCCCTTACAGTAGACACTGGGGTAAACAAAACAAGTTTTCCCTATGAGTGCACCTTCCTTTCCTTCAGATGATGGCTTTTATTCTTACAATCATGTAGTGGGAGTACTGGAACATTTATTTATTTAAAATATTTCTTGTCTCTCAAGAGCATAGTATTCCCAACATGGTTTCCTGTACAAAAGCAGTACAAACATTATTAAAAACACATTTATAAATAACTTTAAATAAAGGCCATACAAATCAACTGCAGTTTCAAAATACCAACAGTAAATACCATAAATAACAGGGTGCATACAAAAAACACACATGCTGCTTTTGTTCAGGAGGCAAGAATCAAAATATGTGGCTTCTCTTGTGTAATCTGGACTCAATGACTGGGTCAAAAGGGGAATCAAATGGTCAAGTTAGATGCCATATTGGCATCTTCACATCTACAGCATTGCATGTCATTCCTCATACCTTTCCACAAGTGGAATCTCTGAAGCAAAGAGTAATGGAATGCCTCACAAGCATGTCAGAATGGTAACCATTCACTACTAAGATTTTTTAGAAGTCACTATTATTTAAAAGTGATGAGGCAGCAACCCTCTCTTGGAAAACTTGGCTTTGGCCACATCTCCCCTGCCTAGAATGCACATGGTTGCCACTAAGGTCACAATGGTAGTTAGGGAGGGAGGGTGGATATCTCTTTGTTAGTGAGAGACTGAGGGAGGAGTCTTGAGTGTCAACAAGTTGAGGAGCATTGCTGTTCCCAGGAGGGTAAGATTGGAATTTGGAAGTGAAAAGTAAAGGATGCCAAAGTTTTTCCAGTAAGCCTTTTTAAAGTCCATAAATTAAATGTTTGAGATAACCTGGATACAGTGCAAATGGAGCAAGGGAATCAAAGGGAAAAGGAGGGAGGTTGATATAAGAGGTATGGGTTATGTAGCCTTTTGAGATGGTGGATAACAGTATCCATCAACCATAGCCATGATAGGTAATGATAAGGAAAGATGGGAGTTATATTGGCATTCCCTATTTTTAGGTCTATAATATCCTTTCAAAGTGATCTGGGAGATCTGATGCTCTTGGACATCCACCTGTGCTATTTTGTCTCTGATGTCATCCACATAAATATTTTGATGAAGCATAAACATGCTGCTGCCTTTTTTCATTTCCTCTTCCTTCCTTCCTTCCTTCCTTCCTTCCTTCCTTCCTTCCTTCCTTCCTAATGATACTAGGAAGTGGCTCTGCAGCCATGTTATTGGACAGTTGATTCCACAAGCAGAGGTTTTTCTGAGAGTGACTGAACAGAGGCAATATGTGCATCTCCTATGCACCAGCCTGTGCCTCCACATGCCTCCAGAACTCTGATGACAAGACTCTTGAGTTATTTCAGTTATGTATGCATCTGGCAGGATAGTTTAGTGAGTTAGAGATTGGGAATTCAATTCCTGATTGTTCCTCCTGGGAGATGAGCCAGCCTGTGTCCTTGAGCAAGCTGCACTGTCCTGGGCCACTCCCAGAAGAAGGGAATGGTAAGCCACTTTAGACAGAAAATCCTAAGCATCACCATTAGTTGGAATTGACATGATGACATGTAGTGAGTTAATTTACGCATGCACAGGATTTTAGCCTCTAATGTGTAAAACGTTCCTTCTGAACAATGTTTAATTCCACATATGCCACTATTTGTTTCAAAGAAGATTAGAGTACAAATGAAGTAGGGAGAGCAAAGTATCTTGGTCAAATGAAAATGATGATCTACATACATGCAGGGAGAGAAGCTCTGGTTTTGACTGGAATTGCTTCATGAAGGGAAATGGGGTTTGCCATTATTTTATCAGAGAAAAAGTCGGCAGCACCACCATTAAACTATCCCAAAGAGACAGATGGTGCAACTACACTGGGACACAGAATCAAAGTGATTCAGTTTTGCTGCAATTTGATTTGCAGCCTGTATTATGTTTGAAATTGCAGTCAGTGATCACACAGGGGCTGTGAATTGATTTGGGAGTCCACTATTCATACTGGATGTGATGCGATATACAGTCCAGCCCACAGCCCCTCTTGTTTCCTTCCTTCCTCTGGTCCTACCTTTACTAATCCTGTTATGAGGTATTAATACGGGCAATAACGATGATGATGACCCAGCAGTAAGGTGACAGGATGACCTAGCCTTAATCTCACATATGTAAAAAAAGTTTTTAAAAATTGGAAAGATGATTAGGGGAGAGGAAAGAATGCAGAGCATGTTCCACTGGCCCTGAACATCATGCCCCAACTACTTACGTCACTGAAACGCCACCTACAGATACCCCCCACCACTTTTTCAAGAACCTGTCACAACTACTACAAGGGGGGGGGGAATTTAACTCATTCCTGCTTGAAAAAATTGAAGCCCGACCAGTGGCAAAGAGGAAACAAAAGCCACTTTGGAAGCAAAAAAGCTTGGGCCAATTCAAATCAGCCTTTGCATCATGCAATCGGCAAAAAGGACTTTGAATTCGCCCCTTTTATGAATGGAGAAATCCTGTGGTGTTTGGCCCTGTAGTTTCAGCCAGATCAAGAGAGGGCTAAGCCTGCTGGTATTAAGCCTGTAGCAGGCTGCTTAATTCCCTGCTCCCTGCCTACTAGTTTTATTTGTCTTAGTTAAATCTTGTACTGTTTTCACACCATGAATTACACAGTTGTTTTTGAGACTGTGTTTTGCACTGCTTGCTCTGGTTACCAAAACTGATGGTTTTAGGCTAGCTCAGCAAGGAAGCAATTGTTTTGAAAATTATATATGTCCTGGATATGTATATCAAACAATCTGAAAATGTGACATAAGCGTTTCTCTGTAGTGATATAATTCTATTTTCCTTACCCTGCCACTATATCAGGTTTTTTTTCTGATAATGAGATGGGTATGAACCCTATTAATTTTCATTGAATACTTTGTCATAACAGTTTTTGAACTGAGCTACTTATGTACAAGGTCAGTATATAATTATATGGGAAGAAAGCTTTCCTTGGGGAAGAAAAAGGACTCCCCAAAGAAAGTTTGTCAAAACAACATGACTGTAAATTTTTTTATTGTGCAATGTATTTTCATACTGGCTTGGGAGATAACACACTTCCCTGTGCTTTTGGGTGGAAGCCAAACTTCAGTTACATAATATTTCTTAATTTGCAGGATAACTACAAAGCAGTGAAGCAAAAATGACAGAATGAACCGGCATCATGCAGAAAGAAAGCCATTCCTGGTGCCTATAAACGACGAAACAAAGCATGAAGGAGAAAATCGTTAGTGTTTGCAAACCATAAGGGGTGTTTTATGGGGGGAGGGGAAGGTTTGTATATCACAGAAAAAATGGTTAAAAGCCCTTCGTAAGGTCCCCTGTACCCCCAAAAAAGGAATCATCAAGTCACGAGGCCCTAAATCATACATTTAGAGATGACATCAGTGGAGAGGCACTGATTAGAGCATCATCCACGGTGTTTTATTAAGGTGACATTCATAAGACTCCAGTGCAACCTTGGACCTCTGATTCCATTTGCATTAATGGGACTGCAGTAGCATTTTGACACCCTCCACCATGGGCTTTTCCTTGCTCATTGTGGCATGGTACGCAAAGAACCTGACTAAGGTCAGTCAATTGAGTTCATAAGTCAGAAACACAGTCTTACAGACTGAAGGCTATCCTACTTTCCATTGGCCAGTTTTTCCTGCCTTATATTGAACATTGTCACTTTGTGATAAATGAAGCATGAATATGTGCCCCATTGCCCCAGTCCCTTTCTTACTAATGATCCAGCCTCTGGCAAGAGGTTGACCACTGTCCTTCCACAAGCAGGATCTAGAAGTCCTCAGGCAAGCTTTCTCCCAGCGACTGCCTGCATGAGCGGCTGGCTACCTCACTGTTTACATGAGTGACTTTTAGATGGATTCTTTGTTATGCATTACTGCTCTGACTGGGTCTTTAGTACGACTTCTGTTTATCATCTCTTTCCAGTGGTATTTGTTTGCTTATTTTTAGTCTTTGCCTGCTTAATGTTTTAGCTTTAATATTGTCTTTTTAATAATGTAAGCTGCCTCTTTAAAGTTGTTCTTAGTTTTAAATATTGTCTTTTAATTATGCAAGCCACCTTGGATCCTTTTCAAGGGGAATGGTGGGGTAAAAATATTTTAAGTCAGTAAATAAGTTTTGGTTCACTGACACATATAAGCATATTGCATGCATGATTTATATTTCTAGGCATAGGCTACTGTAGACAGATTTCTGTTTCTTCGCAGGATTCTGTAAAAGGATGGTTGTGTAAAAGCGTTCGACATAGCACCATTTTTTTTCTTGTTTCATAGTCCTTCTTTCTTTCTTACATTCTCAAATTGCCCACTAACCAGAATTCTCTGGACAATCTGTTAACAATACACTATATAGTAAAATAACAACAACAGTGACCACCACCACCATCATCTTCATCCATGGAACATCTGGGAGAGAAGGTGTCAGAAAATGACCAAGATCTTGTGAGGCATTTGGATTCAAACAGACAAGACACCTTGAGCATAATATAGCAGACATGACAGTAATAGAATGAAGAAGTGTCTGGATAATTAGCATTGAAATTCCAGAGGGTTGAAGACAAAGAACTGGCGAAATTAACAAAGTACAGAGACCTAGCAATCGAAATAACTTGGTTGTGGATGAAACACATTTCGGTGTTTCCCATAGTCATGGAGGCATTGGGAATAATGCTTTAGAATTATCACCAGCTGCAGATCTCTGAAACAACACCATCAGAGCTGCAAAAAAAAAAAATCAGTATTAGGAACAGCATACATGTTACACTGGAACACAAAACCAAAATAAAATCAGCTCAGAGAATAAAACCTTTCAGCATTTAAAACTATGAGACTAACTTAAAGTCTGAAAACACTGCCCTTGTTCTCTTTGGCTTCAGATATCACCATACAGAGTCAAATCAGAGGAAGTACGTATATACTGTATATGGCAGCCACTACCAATCCATAATGTGATTGCTACTAATTATATACCACCAAACTGCTGAAAACCAACTATCTTCACTGTACAATATATGCCCCTTTGCTCCCACATGAGAGAAATGTGTGTATGGGCATTTCAGCTCAGCAGAATTGTAAACTTTGAAAACTGCAGCAGTACAACTAAATGTACTATTTGCTAATGGTTTAATGGAGACATTCCCAGTTTATCTGGCACTCATTTGTATATAATGTATACTTTTTCCTGTTAAGTTAATGATATTGAGTCATCTTCCTTCGGACAGATCTAGTATTATGGTTTGTTTAGTTTCTACTTGTGCTTTTTACAGGCAAGGGAAAAAAATCCTATAATCACTGCTGAATTCACAAACGAATGTAGCTTTGAATCACATGAGAAAATGCTCTTCTGATTCTCGTCAGTCTTCTCATGTTCTGTATCATACTATGTTTATTTCCCCGCTAACAGAATTGGCAAAAGCTGAACTCCCTCCTCAAAAAATCCTGAAAATCGATTTGGACAACTGCCATCCTGTTGTTCCATGCCACCAGGGACTGTTTCCTGGTAAGGCTCCCACATCTTTTGTGTTCCATCCTTATTATTTCAACATCAAATACTGTGAAGTCATGCACATGAGCAGATGGGCAGTTGCAAAGTACTCTGATAGGAAACAAACATTATATAGAAAGATAACTGGTCCAGAAAGTGCATTCAGTCAAAGTTTCTGAGGGTAAACAACCTGTATTATCATGTTGAAAATCACTAGAAACAACAGATTGCGGCTTTACAGCACACACTTAGAACTTGGAAAGGTAATTTAAAAGAGCCATTGTCTTAGATTTAGCTCTTACTCAGTTTTGTAACACATTAACCTCAAGGTCAGAACAGGTTTGGGGGAGTAAAAGTATTAGTGATATGTTACAAACACATTATTTTAAATTCTTTAAAAATACAGTGATGCCTTGCTAGACAGTTAACCCGCATGACAGTTTTTTCGCTAGACATTGGCTTTTTGTGATCGCTATAGTGATTCACAAAACAGTGATTCCTATGGGGGAATTTCACTGGACAATGTTTGGTCCCTGATTCGCAAACTGATTTTTGCTAGATGACGATTTTGACAGCTCCCTATGTGCTCACAAACAGCTGTTTTTGGGACCTAAGCTTTGCAAGACAGTGATTTAAACAGCTGATCAGTGGTTCGCGAAGCGGCTTTCCTATGGCCGATCTTCACTAGACAACGATGATTCTTCCCCATTGGAACACATTAAACAGGTTTCAATGCATTCCAATGGGGAAATGCTTTTTGCTAGACAGTGATTTCACTAAACAGCAATTTCAGTGGAACGGATTATCATCATCTAACGAGGCACCACTGTAATTAAAAAAAACAAAAATGGCACAAAATATCCCCTTCCCAATGACTGAAATATAACATTTGAGAAATTATGAGTAAACATTACTCATTACCCGCCAAGATCAACATAAAACTGTATGAAAGAAATATTACTTGTCCCTTATTTTTTTTTAAATCGTGCAATGAGTAAGATTGTAACTTCTCGTGTGTTACTTTTGAGCTCTGCACTACCTTATGTGTGGTTTGTTTTTTTCCACAAAAACGTCCCGCTCAGTGCCAATAATTCAGTAGGGTCATTCCTACCTAAGTGCCAGATAAATGTGTACAGTACTGAATTGTATCCTTATGGGGTGATTCTTAAAATCACTGAAAAAAGGATGAGTTGAATAAAAGAAGAAAACTGACTTCATATCTAGTTAGGAAATTCAATGGAATATTTAGAGGTTAATTTCAATTTACAGGATTTGTGGGGAAAATCAGGTGACACAACTGTTGATTTAGAACCTCATGTTTCTTAGCTAACCTCAAGACTGGGACCCAGAAAAGACTTATTAACCTTGGGAAACCAAAGTTCACAATTCACCCCATGTCCACCGGGATTTGAGGCTTTAGCAAAGAGGTATACTAGAACAATGTTTCTAATGGTAGGGAGATGTGTCACCCATGTATACAATGGCAGTTGATTCAGCACAGCACTCCCAGGGCAACTTTTTCTGAGGTAACTGTTGGCAATTTGTGTTGGCATTCAGCTTCTCCTCATAAGAGACTCCCCACTGTAATTGTATGTTTTCAAATTCTCCCCCTTGGCAACATTCCAAGAGAAGAATACTTAACAAAGGGCAATTTTATGCAGTCACATACTTCAAGAGTACTAGAATAATTCTACTAAAGCTTGAGTGTTCTATTGCTGATTGTTATTATTTTGAGATAACTTTGCTGGAAAGTATGTGGGATGAGGTTTACAACAAATTGAGTGTTTTCTATGTGAAGTTTATATAGTGGTCAAAATGCTCCATTGCCATTTGGTTTGGTATTTAATCTGCTTAAAATGTGAGTCTGGATTCAAGGCTTACAGATGTACTACAGTAATTCAGGTCTAACATGTTGTTTTCCTTTATTTGGGACTTACTTTGGGACTGTCAACAGCACTATGCACCTTTCAGCTGCTGTGAGATGGTAGAGTTGTATTCATGTGCTACTGGTGTGCTTTCCATAGGTGACTGACTCTGTGAACAGAATGGTGAATTTGATAGGTATTTTGGTTTAACCACCCTGGCTGTTCCTATAGTCTTCTTCAGGCTCTTGCAGGGTGATGATTATGTTTTCTGCTCTCCGATTGATTTGTGAATAGAAGTTCCCATCCTGAATTCCCCACAGTGCCCCAAAGTGACAGCACTTCTATAACATGGTGAAAAATTAAACATGGTGGCTTCTTGGATCCATCAGCTACTCCCATAGCCAGGAGGCACCATTAGTGTAGGAGGAGAACCAGCAAATACTACTCTTCTATCCTGACAATGGTCTTGCACCACCTTGTCTTGCATGGGTTTTTGAAATTAAGTAAGAATAAAATACTTCTCAGCACTGTTGGTACCCATTGCAGTATTTTGCCGAATTCCTCTGTGCTCTGTAACTATCATGTAGAACTTTTCCCTTTTCTGCAGCTCTCCATATTCCCCTAAATCGTGCTCCAGAGGGATTTGCATCTCTCCAGAGCAATATTGGGGTATCACCCGGCCTAATACTGAGGGAAGAAGGATCACCCCACCCCTAGTTCTGCAAATAGAAGCAGGTGTGCCAACAGAGCCATCCTATTGGAAACTGTCCCCTGCCTGTACCTTGCTCCTAATTTAAATATTCTTGCATCCAGCAGTTGTGTCTTGTGTATATAGGTGTGTGCACACATAATCCATTGAACAGATGTTCCTATCAACCCAGAACAGTGCTGATCAGCAGTTTTGAAATGAAGAGAAAGGGATTGCTATGGAGGTGGCACAATTTAGCAGTGGAGCTTATGTTTCTCCACACAGAATATCATCAGTTTCTGGCATCCCCAGATAAGACTAGAAAATAATCTTGCCTGAAAACCTGAAGAGGTGCTACCAGTCCCTTGACCATACAGAGTTAGAAATACCGTTATGAATTGGTATAAAGTAGCTCCTTATTTTCTTATTCTGATTAGACAACTTATACTGACAGAGCTGAATAACAAGCTGATATTAAACAAACCAGTCTTCAGTAATAAAGTAATGGAGAAAAATGAGATAACCCCAAAATGTTTACAGAATATTTGTGTTGATGTATATATTAGCTCTAACAGTGGTGTGTGCTTTGCTGCAAAGGGTCTTTCCTTAACACTTTAAATAATTTCCAACTGAAAATCACCCTTCCCACCATGACTACTTGCCCACAAAGATGTTACTTGCAGTGAAAAGAACTTCCTAGACAAACTGCTGCCTTGGGTGGGTGATTTTTGGTGTGGGACTGTCACCAGCCACCTCTCTAGATTAGCAGCACATGCTAGAACAGGGCTGTGAACACCTCTTTCTTCCTTTATGGCCAGCTTCAGCATTCTTCAGGGAAATACTTCACATTGGGTTAGATCCAGATTTGCACTTAGAGTAGATCCACAGAAATCAGTGGAACGTACGTTAGACCCTTAGTCTCCATTGGTTTTAACATGCCCACATTCTAAAAATATGTACATTTTAATTTAACCTGATATACATTGATGGGAAATGTCAGAGAGGAACTGCTCGTTACCCTGGGAATGTCAGTTGACTTTGCAAGAATAGATGATGTTATAAATAAACAAACAAATGCTGTTCACAGGTGTAATAAAGCCCTTTATGTTGTAACCCAGAGCTATGTTTTAGCCAGTTTTAAAATTTCTGCACAGGTTATATAGATGCCTATGTTGTGTATGAATGGAAGCATAAAAAAAGCTTAATATTGAATATTGTATTTTAAAATTTTATTTGACTGTTACCTAACACAGAATTCTTCTTTATATTTTTAGAGCTAACTCCAAAAACTGTGGAAGAGTTGCCTCCTCCCCCGAAAATAGACAAATACAAGCTTGCAAGATTTTTAACAGACAAGGCCATCAGGGTACATGTGATTAGTAATAGTTTTTTAAAAGTATATGTAAACATTTATATGTATATATTATTTATTTTTAAATGTTAAAAAAATACTAGTTAGATAAATATTGTGTTACCGGTCCTAAAATAAGATGAAAACAACATCCAGTGAACAAAACAAGAGAAGATTCTATAAAGCTGGCTCTTATAAAGCCAATTTAGAGGCTCTCTTAAAAGTCTGGACTCTGAGGTAGCCTGGAAAATCTTGAATGAGACTTCTAGGGGCTGGAGAATTTGAAGAACAGCTGTTTACAGAGTGGCATGACCTTGCCTGACACTCCCTCGACCCCTGTGGAGATGACAAGAACAATAGAAAAGACAGGAAACTTGCAAGTTTCTAGATTGTTCCAGTGTTAGACATGTCCTTGGACACAAAAATCCAGAGGCTCACCTACAGCTGTATTCTTCCCCAGTCAGGGTGGGACCCTTTCTGTTAGTCTCACTTGGTCACTTCTGCTAGTCTCACTTGGTAAGAATACCACAGCCACAGTGGAGAGGGATGGTGATAGTTGATTGTTTTAAAGTAATTCTGTTTAATGTTTTATGTATATATTTTGTTGTATATCACCCAGAGTAGAAATTGCTTGATTGGGTGGTATATAAATTGAAGGAAGGAAGGAAGGAGAAGGTAAGGGAGAAAAGGGAAAGCAAGGGAAAGGAAAAGAACCAACCAGCCAACCAACCAACCAACCAACCAGCCAATCAACCAAGTTCTTCCAGACTAAGAGGTTCATTGCAACAGAGATGCTTTGGAGTAAAATCTTCAATAAAAACTGTGATTGAGGCCTCATGGGAGGTCTGCGGCTGTGACAGTGAACACAATATAAAAAAGCTTAAGCTGGTGGGACTCCAGCTTTTGCCTACAAGGAAGGGAAACATCTGAAAACAAGAGGCACAAACCTCTGTTCCAATTGCAGTTCCTGCCCACAGGTTATGCTAAAAATCAGTTGTTACAACCTATGACAGGATTCAGCATGTTAAAAATCATTCATTGGAATGGGATCAGCTCTGTGGTAGATGTGGATATATTACCAGGTCTGTATTTCTGTGGCTAGTTTCAGAATAGAGTTTGATTTCAATATTAAATGTGTAGTGATTGTTCCTTTTTGATCAAAGGAGTCACTGGGATTGAAAGAGGTTGCCCATAATCATGAAGGATCTTGTGCTTAAATGAAACATCTGGAAGTTATTTGTTGATATTCTTTCCTTCTAACACAGGCCCAAAACTAAAGGAAATACATATTGCATAATGGAGATTTTTCAGTTTCTCTTAGTAGACAGCAGTCCTAAATGGCTGCTTTGAGGGTCAGGGAAAAGACACAAGTATAAGAATGGGGTGTGCAGAGTCCTCCTCATTGTCCCATAATTGGGAGCAACACATTATATGGAGATATGGGAGTGGGCCTTCTCTACTATGGCTCGTGGCACCCTGGGTGTGGAATGCCACCCCCCCCCCAAAGCTTTGACTGGCAGCAACATTGTTCTCATTTCAGTGCCAAGTTAAAATCTTGGTGTTCAGTCAAGTGCCTGAGGCCCAGTGACCATGAATGGCTCAGATCTGGCTTCTTGGCATGTCAGTATTGTCTCCTGTTTATTTCATTCTACTTAAGTATGTTGAAGGGATTGTTTTAAAATTTCAACTTGATTTTACCCCTCCCTAAGATCTCCAGATATAGGGTGGAATATAAACTGCTGAAAAGCAACGACACATTCCTTTCCCCACACTGCCTCTCAGCTGCCCACCCCCACTTCCACTAATGAGGTTGTTGTCTTCAACACTTTTTTCTAGTCCTGCAATTAGTACTGGGCTTTCACTGCTGTAATTGCTCACAATGTCCTCCTTAAAGCAATTGGCTTTCACTCCAAAGCATCTTTGGCACCTACGGTGATGGCCTCCTGGGACACTCTTATCACAACCATGACTATTCCTGCCACTCATTCACTTTTATTTCTTCTCTGAAGTGCCTTCCAACCATACAATTCTATTATTCTACAATCCAGTGAAAGTAAAAGGGAGGAGGGTTATACACTGACTGAAGGCGGGTGCAGTGGCACAGAGGTAAATTTGGAACTAGTCTGTCAATCATCATGACAGTAATCATGGCAACACACAAACCCAAAGCAAAACCTGAAATGAAAGCTGTGGTGTGGGCTCCTTATCAACAAAACAGTTGTAGCAGGTGTCATCTCCACCAGGAGCAGGACTTGTGTAAAGCTAATGGGACTTCTTTGCCTGTTTAAGACCAAGCCATTCCAAACAGTTTTGCATTTCAATAGCAATAGCTCTTAACAATATACTGCCAGAAATCCTGTTGATCAACTAGACTAGGTGCATTAACTTAATGGAATGAATGAATGAATGAATGAATGAATGAATGAATGAATGAATGAATGAATGAATTCATTCATTCATTCATTCATTCATTCATTCATTCATTCATTCATTCATTCATTCAGTTTTTATACTGTCGATCTAGCAAATTGCTACTCTGGGTAGTGTACAGAAAGTCTTGTAAAATTATAAAAATCATAAAACACATTCTAAAATACATAGAAAAGAAAAATAAAAGAAGTCAGACAGCAGAAAACTGTCAGGGCAAAGAAGAGTTCTTCCTCCTCCACCACACATTTCATCAATTCAGGAGAACCTCTGCAAAGGCTACCTTGAAAAGCTCTGATTTTACTTCTTTTTCAATGGCACAGGGGGACAGACAGCCCCTGGTGTAATTCCTATGGCAGCACATTCTAGAAGAAAAGGTGCCACATCAGAGAAGACCTGGCTTCTGGTTCCTGTTTTCCAGCCCTTTCGAGGTGTTAACAATGTTAATTTACAGAAGAGGTGCCTCACCATATCTCCACTGGGCCTATTCTAGTTGCAACTCACTACACTAAGCAACAGGATTTCAGCCATTGTTGTTGCAGGTGGGTGGGAGGTGGCCGCTTAAATATAATGTCCACTAATACCTAGGCTGAGGTGAATTTCATCCTGATTGTGGATTTCTTGCATTATTTTGGCCCTGAAATGTGTCTGCTCATGTTTTGGGTTTTTTCTTCTTCTTCTTGTTTTAGGAAAAGAGGATTTTTACTATCTGTGGACCCTACCCAGTAATCCGTACATCATTAAGAAAGAGAGGATGGGTAGAAAGAAAACACATCACTAAAGGTGACATTCAAGATCATAAAGATGATGGGAATGAAACAGAACATGACAGTGTTGCTAAAACTGGTAAGAAATCTTTCAGTTTGGTTGTACTTTCCCCTCCTTTATTTGCACAGAAAATGTCCTAAAATGGATTTAGGTGTAAACTTCTCTAGTATTAGGGAATGAAACAGAGTCTGTTCATTGAGTTGGTATCCCCTAATGGTTACACTTTGCTCTCGTAGAAGAAACTTGAATACTTTCAAGTCTGAGTGAAAGAAACTTGAATACTTTTCAGATAATATCCACATGCCTTTGGATGCTTCCTTCTTCTTTCTTATTAGGCTAAGAACTGTCATTGTTCTGTAAATCTTCTTTAGCTATTTCCGTAGTGACTGACACATATCTTACAAGATGCTCAGAAGCAGTCTAAGTGGTGAGAAAAGTGAATACTGAAGATCTGTGTGGTTTTCTGGGAAGTATAAGAATGATTCACTTCGACTTTACGAGAGCCTATGGATACTCTGTATACTGTTAATAGGAAGAAACATGCATTTCTTTTGGTCTCAGATTGTTAGCAGATATGAGTTCCAATCCAAAAGCAAGAATGAGTGATAACAGGCCAGCTTTCATTAAGAAGGTGGAGGGTACAGAACAAATATAAAGGCATTTTGCACCATCACCACCCCAGTCTGTAATGCCCAGCTTGATGAAGAGTCCTGCAGGATTTGGAAGCTTGCCTGATCATGAAATTTTAGTGAATTAAACAAAACATCTCCCATCCTTTATTTTATATTGTGTATAAAACATCCAAGCTGGCAAAATTACCTTTTCATTTCAGAGGTGAAGAAGTTCTCCGTAGTTATTTAAGGCTTTTGGAAAGATGTATTGCCTTGATCTTGAAGGTTTTGTTTAAACGTTTATTCAGCTTGATTTTACGAATCCATTCTATATCAATGAGTTGAAGTGGAATTTGCCATATCTAGGTTATCGTATCTGATGTCCATCTGAGCTGAAAATACAATTTTTGGGATGCTACCAAAGAAATTAAACATGTGATCCCAACAAAAGTGTACATTTGGACTAATAAATGCAGCAACACTTGCTGATTATTGCAGTGTTATTCAAAGCAATTGTTTAGTTGATGTGTCTCTGTGTTTGGCTTATTTTAGATTAATTTATCTATTCCTGTTCTGTTCTTTTGCATAATTTTCTTGAAGAAAGTAAAAGTGCCTTGCGGGAAGAGGAAAACCAGTTTACCAATACCAGTGACATCCATGAGATAATGGTAAGAATCGTAAGATTACAGCGATCACAAGAATGTTCTTATAGGTTAGGAAACTATGGAAAAGTACACAGAGAAGCTCTATTAATAGTTTTTGTGTTTTTGGTGATTCCTGAAAGAGAACCTCTACAATACAAATAATTTATCTTAACAAAAGAGAGGGACATACACATTATATGTTTATTCATGCTTCCTTCTTTTGTTTAGCCGGTCTTTCACTTTTTGTCTGTTAAGTTACTCAGAATTTTGTTTGTCCAATAGTGTTTTGAGGGCTGCTGTCAGCAGCCAATCAAAACTTTGTAGAGGGGTTTAGTAAGCATTTTGAAGCTGTAAATGGGCCTAACTTAGTTGGAATTTAGTGGGAGTGCTTTTTTGGTATCAGTGTCATTCCTTGTGGGTGGGTGATCTCCTGGGATCTCCATTTTGTGCTGCCTCTGCCTTTTAAATCCTTCCTTCCTTTCTAATTGATTTTTTTTTTGGGGGGGCTCTCCCTCTCTATTTCTTTGAATTATTTTTTGCTGCTATTTTTGTTATCATCCAGAATAATTTTGTTATTATTCAGCAAGGTCTGTCCCAGCATGTCTCTTTGGAATTACTTTTTAAACCCTCTCTTCCCACAATTTCCTTGAGATCCCCCCCCCCCCCCCCGCTCTTTGGTACATTCATTTCTTCGATTATGTTTGCCGCCTGCCCCCGCTGTACTCTCAGACAAGAGAGTCAAGAAAAAGACACCAAGTCATAATAATAATTGTGTGCCATCAGATCAATTCTGATTTTTCAGGGTTTTCTAGAGAGCACTTAGAAGTGGTTTACATTCCCTTGTTCTGGGAGCATCCTGGAATTGTGAGAAACATCCATTTATTTTAGTTGTTTTTGTTTGGGAAGTTTCTTTGATTTTGTGTGTGTGTGTGTGTGTGTTGCTTTTATTTGCTTACTTGTGTGTTCGTGTGTGTATGTGTGCATTGCTATTTTCTTCTCTCTCTGTGTGTGTGTCTGTGTGTGTGTGGTTCCCCTCTTCAATTGATTTTTAAAAAATTGTTATTTGGTTAAAGAAGTATGTTTGTGTTTTTTTGGGGGGGTATTTTGTTTAGTGGTGTTGGTTGCATTGTTCTCTGCTGATTCTCTGTCGATGTACCTTTTGGGGGTACTTTTTATCATTTTTAAGGGTTTTTTTACACCAGTGCCAGAAAACACAAACAGGGAAAACTAAAGTGAAATAATCTGGAAGAAGCAGTTCCCTTTGTATTAAATGAAAGGGCTGGTGCCTGAAAAACACAAAAATGAAAGAGGAACCCCTAAAAGAACCCAAAATGAAACAAAACCAACAATTTGTAATGAACACATCACTAGTCATACCATTGTTCCATTATTGTATGGTTGTGTTACTTGGCTTTCACTAATCAGCTAAACAAAGTTCTCTTGTGCCTCTCTCTCTTTCATGCTTAGGAAGAGATAAAAGACATGTCTTGTTTTGCATAAGAACCACAACCACAGACAATCATGAACGTGCTCCTTTGTTGTACAAAGAGGAATTCCTATAAAATAAAATTGTGGCTTTTGTTTTTGATCGTATAGCCAGAAATGAGCAGCTAAATGTCATTGGGTGAATCAGATAATATTTTCCAGGTGGAATCATAACACAGTCTTCTTTGGGCCAGTCTAGGTTGGTAAGAAATGAAGAAACCTCCTTTTACTGGACTATAAAAAAGGATGCAGTCGATTACTACAATCTCCATGTTGATCAGATTTTGAATCATTACGCAAGAACAGGCTCCTTTACCACCAAAGTAAGTACTGTAAATAGTTGACAGCATGATAGCAACACAGCAGTGGCTAATTCTTTCTGGGTAAGCCAAGCTGTTTTAGGCAAAGTTGCCAGGGGGGCCCCACACCCATCCTTGACCAAAATGTCCATGCCAGCAGGCATTGTAAGAGTGAATATTAGCCTGGTCTTGAAAATTTGGGGTAAATTCACACGTTCCACCACTCAGACTATGAGTCATCCCTAGTTGTCAGTGCCAGTGGAAGGAGCTGCCATAGATGCTGTAGCATCATCACAGCAGATTGACAGGGGGTAGTATTACATTTACAGATTGCTAAATATCATGTTACAACAGAGATTGCTAATGCGGTTCCATCTAGTTTTGTTGCACTCTGGTCTGCCTACTTAATCTGAAACACTGTCAATCAGACACAGCCCAAACTGCTTTTTAATTGTCTTTTCTTACTCACTTATAGGGCTGTTCATGAATCAGGTGAAAAAAACATGTCCCAACTATGTTTTTTTTTTTTAAAGAGTATCAAAACAGTTGGCTTCAAATTGTGCCTTTTGAACTAGTTCTCAGAATTTCGGACTAAAAGTGGGCTTAACCTTGAATAAAACTTGGCAGCAGCTTTTCCATTTATTGTGAACCAAAGGTGGTTTTCATCCAGACACAAAGTTGAAAGCAGAACCTGGAAGTAACTGAATACAAGTAATATGGTCACCTATGGCTGAAAACCTATTTATCTTCATATAATGTAAAGTTATGCCTTCGAAAGTCTTTGCAAAACTCAAGCAGTTTGGACTGTGTTATTATATTGCACAGTCAGTTGCATGACTCCTTTTTAGCCTGTTGTATTGCATGCATTTGCTTGTACTCAGTTAACACTTGTGTCCCAAAATGTTTTCACTACTGTTGCTTTGGCTTCACATTGTCACACATACAAAACTGTGTGACAGGATTTCAGCCTATAACTAGTTACTGTGTGAGTAGTGAGTAATGAAACTAATAGTTCTAAAATCACTTTTTAGGTTTAACAAGAAACATGTAATACCTAATTTCTTCCATGAACATTTTAAAAAGCATTTTAGAGGCATTTTGATAATAATATTTCTAGTTTTATGGGATTGTCTTATCAGTTCTGTGTGGCAAAGGAGTTATTCTTTGGTTTTGTCTTTTCTACAGTGGTAACTCGCATTACGATGACTTTTTGCGATTGCTATAGCAATTCGCAAAACAGTCATTCCTATGGGGGAATTCCGCTTGACGGTGATTTGGTCCGTGCTTCGCAGACCGTTTATTCACAAGACAACGATTTTTCCGATGATCGTCAGCTTCCTAAAATGGCTGCCCTGTGTTTTCCGGACCCATGCTTCGCAGGGCAGCCATTTTAACAGTTGATTGGCACTCGCAAAGTGGCTTCCCTATGGGCGATCTTTGCTGGACGACGAGGTATTTTCCCCATTGGAACACATTAAACTGAGTTTCAATACATTCCAATGGGGAAAGGCTTTCCGCATGATGACGATTTCACTTAACATCGATTTTCCCAGAATGGATTATCGTAGTCATGCGGGGCACCACTACATTTTCATAAATATTTCTAATTAGAATATTCCAGAATTAGAATTGGACAATGATCTTCTAGTTTTTCTGATATGAGGCTTGCTGTGTTTCATACTTCTACTCCTATCTGGCCCATGAGATGGGTGCATCAATAAAAGGCAATGGAGTATTCATTGAGTGAAGGGGCAAAATGTAACCCTCAGCGGCACTTTTGCAATCCTGGGGGTCCCCTAGCCCTTTCTGTAAAAATTACAAAAATAAAATAAAATCCAAGTTTCTTTTTGCCACTAGAAGATGGAATGAGCTTTTTCGATTAAAAAAAAAAGTTAAACCTTTTTTTCAGTTAACAAAAACCCACTGTAGCAATTTTAATTTTAAAAACCCTCAGCTATGGAAAATAGCATCTTTTATTTATTTATTTAAAATCTTTTTATCCCACCTTTCTCCTTAAAAACAACTCAAGGTGGCTAGAGGTCAAGTTCCTTCTCTTTTTTATCCCTCCAGCTTTGGAGCACAGACCTCAGACTCCCAGTGATGCTGAAATCTTGCCTTCAGCCACATTAAGTTTTCTCACCCCAATCTGTAGAGATGGAAAAAGACAATTAATTTCATATTCCAAAAAATAAAATAAAATAAAATAAATGTATTGTCATTGTAAGTATATACAGTGGTGCCCCGCAAGATGATGTTAATTTGTTCCATTGAAATTGCTGTTTTGTGAAAACATTGTCTTGCGAAAAGCGTTTCCCCATTGGAATGCATTGAAATCCATTTAATGAGTTCCAATGGGGAAAAATCATCGTTGTCCAGCGAAAATTGCCCTGAAAAATGGTTTGCGAAGCATGGACCAAATTATTATCCAGCAAAATCCCCCACAGAAAAAACCGTTTTGCGAATCACTATAGCAATGGCAAAAAGTCATCGTCCTGTGGATTACCTGTTTTGCGGGGTAATCGTCTAGCGAGGCCCCACTGTACATAGTATACCCATACAACGAAATTCACACAGACACCCAGAAACCAGGCCCACCAGATTCCCTGAGGCGAGAAGAACATACCTCAGGCTGACTCTCCACATTGGCAGTCTCTCTCTTGAAACTTTAAGTACAGCTGCTGCAACTTTAACATCTAGCCAGGCTGATTTTTGAGCTCTTCCATTTCTTTCTCTATCCGAAGCTCTGCAGTGTCCAGAATAATGAAAGATTTGGCAAGACATGAACATATAATAGGTAAAACAACGGGTCTTACCCAGTTGAATAGTTCTAGAGAACAAGCAGTCTTTTATACACAAATCTATCTTTTTTAATGCATCTGTATGTCAAAATACCAAGTGCTGTATGTTCATTTTATTTAAAGATTGGACTTTGTCTGAATTTGAGGAATGTGCCATGGTACGTATCCGCAGACCCAAATGCTTTCTTCCCTCGGTGTTATGGCATTTGTATGGATGACGAGAAATATGATTTTATCGGTGAGTTGTTTTCCATATTAGCCTTTGAAAGTTCAGCAATGGGGTCTTTTTTCTTCTAAACGTACAAACTGGGAGAAAGGGGCAACAATGATTTCTGTCAGGATCATGGCAGAGGACAAATGCCCTTACTTTTTAAGCCTCCTCTCATTGTACACTTATAATCTTAATACAAAAGTGATTTCTCCACCCTGGCAATCAAACACATACACTCACAATAGTTTTTTTTTTATATATTCACTTACAAATATACAGGAGTTAATCTCCTGCTCCTGCCATGCTGAAATCCAGTAGTAAACCACAACTAAAGTAGGCCTATTGAACCAGTGGGGATTCAGTGAGTCAACACCTCTGTAAATTCCATTGATTCAATGGACCTACCCTAGTTGTGGCTTACTCTTGGTTTTCAGTCATTCTTGTATTATGGCTTAAAATAATATACAATGTTTACATTTCATGGTACAAAAGCCAAATTGTGTATTATGGCTTAAAATAATATACAATGTTGGTACAAACTGTGGGCAAGGTGTGGATCCTAGCCATTACAATCCCTATTTTAATTTCTTGCCCAACATGTAATTTTTGTGAAAGTGAAGCAAATAGAGGAAAAACTACCAGTTTTTCTTTGGAATGTCGTATCCTCCATGGCTAATTGCAATTCTGAGGGAAGGATTTGAATTAGGATTGGATGCATGAGGAGGGAAAGGTTTAAACCTCTCAAGCTTTGGCCTTGATTCTTAAGGGCCTGCCCCAAGCTCTAGATGTTTTTAGCACCATATACAAAGGTTGGGCATGCATTCACACACCTCCCATGTCATTCTTCAGCACTGCTGAAGGTCCCATCTAATGAGGAAGTGAAGCTACTGAATAACAATGGCTAGATCCAACAGTGTACAGTATTTTGGTATTCAGTTCCACTGGAGGGTGGATCTCTCTTCTCCTCTTCTTGTAGCCCTTCCATGGTGCCAAAAAACTCTTCCAAATGATATGTCAATCCTCTGAGCACAGGTTCATGGTGTAGGGGGGCTCAAGGGGGATGGAGTAACTGATCTTCGTGGAAACAGCCAGATCTAGTACATGTACACCCCGGGTTCTGTCTCATTAAGTTTAATGGTGTCATGTGGATGCTAAATTCCTATAAAACTCCTCTGTACTTTGACATTAAATAGATGTGTTGTTTAATTTGTCATATTCCAAAATAACATGTCACTTATTTCAGATGACTTCAGAAAAACAGCAGCTGCCTGCATAGTCAAATGGGTTGTTAATTTACATATTTCTGGTGATAAATATAAATGGTTATGTACAGAAAATACCAAGAAAGAAGATTCAGCTGAGAGGAAAGGTACTGATCAGACTAATTAAAATTATAAGTTTTAAATGGTTCATTTGACAATGTGGGTGAATGGCAGAAAAGCTCAAAAAACAAAAACGATTTCCCTTGTTGAGGTAACTCAAATTGGAACAAACTAAATTAGATTATTATCTAAATTAAATTATTGCAACTTTAGTTCCCTCAAAAAGGGAAATTTACTTACTTACATACTCTAGATTTGGTTTACTTATTATTGGCAAAACACAATTAGAATGGCAAGTTTATTTGCTTCAATACATTTAAAACTTTTTAACTGTTAGAGCAGCATGACAATGGGACCAATTACCTTCAGCATTGGAGTGGTTGGCACTCCAATGCTGGAAGCATTCAAGAGAAAATCGGACAACCATCTGTCAGGTCTGCTTTGATTTGGGTTCCTGCATTGAGCAGGGGGTTGGACTCAATGACCTTATAGGCTACTTTTAGTTCATTTACCTTATGATTCTATGAAAATTAAAAGTTCAGAACTGAATTCTAACAGCAGTTTAATTAATTAGGTGTGGAAGGGTTCTGAACAACCAGGAGAAGGAGAAGGAGCAGGGGAAGCAGGGAACAGCATGCACAAAGTGTGAGGATGTGGAAAGGTTAGAGCATGCCCACATTGGCACATTGTTATGAGATGGAGCTTTCTCATGGCATGGAAAAAAAGTTTTCTGCTTGTATTTCTACTTAGAACAATCCATCCTTTCCCCTTAAGAGCTATAACATACTTTTCTGGCACAAGGCTAAGGCATGCAAACCTTTAGGGATGATTCACTGAGATGCAAAATAGCTCTTCGTTAAGCCTTCATGGATGGATACTTTTCACCAAAATGACACTGGAGGTGGTGTTAGTTGAAGATACAAGATTGTGATGTATTAGGTCGGTTATGGCATTAAAAGGGAGAGTGGAGAAAACTCCTTCTCTGTTTTCATCTTAATTTTAATACTTCCCTCACTGAGTGAAAGTTTAAAACCAGCACAGGTTGATGAATTGCCATTTTGATATTCCACTTACTTTAAAACAAACAAACAAACAGCAAAAAAGGAAAACCACCACAGCCGGCTGAATGATAGTGGAGAGAAATGGTAGGGAAGGGGACTATGTCAGCTCCATGGGTTCCACCCTCACAAGGATTTGTAGCACCGAAAAAAATGGCCCACTTTACTGATAGCTGATCAGGCTACAAGGGTTTGTTTCCTATGAGGGCTGGAGGAACTTGCCAAATGGCACATCTGTCTTCCCCGGCACCTGAACGGATCCTTTGTAGCCTAATCTACCCTGCACCCAAAATGGCCAGTATAGACAGGATCTTAGAGAAACGGACACAGGATTGATTAATCAACTCTGTATTTGCAGCTCAGTCTTCCTCTAGTGGGAAATGCAGGGAAAAATAAGTAGTAAGCAGTGTTGAGTACTGCTCTTTATCTGATCCTCTGAAGTGAAGGTATCTGCGATTGTATTTGAGGTGCTCAATCCCTCATGTAGAACAAGTGCCCTACTACTGGCCTCTGTAGATCATGCTTCTTGATTCTAAATGGATGCTGAGGCAGAGGATGTGGCTAGCAGATAATGCAGAAAAATGTTCTCCATATGCTGGGAAGCCCTCAATTTTTTTCCCATTTAGGACCGTCTATCTGTGATTTACTGAGTGATCTTTGTAGCCACTTGTTTTTGCACTTCAGTATTCCACTGGCTCAATGCCCTCTAACTGGAATAAAGATAGCATTCTTTGGTGACCTTTTCAGTCCAGACAAACAATCTGTGATGTTTAAAGGCTGAGTAAACTGTGAGTGTTTGCTGGAGATGGGGTGGAAAGAAGGGAGGAGTGACACAGACCCATGATAAGCTTAAGTGAACAGGTTCTTATTTCAGTGCTTTAGGGCAGCACTGAAGTACAATCTAACACTTGCCTAGATGCATGTTGGACTACAAAACACACCACCCCCAGCCAGCTCTTGAATTATGGGATTTGTGATCCAAGATATGTGGGAAACCAACTTAAATTCCAATGAGAGCCAATTTGAAGGAGTAAACCACAAAATGCTGTTGGGGGTGAATGTGCCAAGCATGACAGCTGGTGCCAACTTCTCTTAAGGTTTCTTTTAGAATTAATAACATGACATTTAATCTTTTACTCATGTAATTAAAAATGTTCATCTAAACAAAATTAGATTCCTGTGTCTTTTGAATAAATCATAATCAATGAGGCCTTTTGTTCAAATTTCCTAAGTATCCTCTTAGTGGAAGACTGTATAGAAACAATGCTTTCCCTGTAATAAATACCACCTTATTGCCAAATCAACAAAGCAAGCCCTTATCAAGATTTAAATGCCCGTTTTGTTGGCAGGGGGCTGAGCTCTGCGAATATAGCATGCAATAAGGGAAAGCAAGGTGTGTCACAACCAGAGTTATAATGGAATCAGGACTTTTTGATTTGCAGGGTTAAATATGCCATCTGTTGCATCCCTCAGAAATCTTCATTCCTTCTGAGCTTACCAGTTATAGTTCTCACAGTAGCTGGGGTATGAAGGGGCAAGTATGTCTCCCTGGCATTTTCATCTAAGGCACTTCCCTCATTCTGCATGATGGAAGAGCCAGCCCCTGGCATTTTCATCTAAGGCACTTCCCTCACTCTGCATGATGGTGGTATGTCATCTGGAACTTTTGATTAGACAGTATATTTTTAATGAACAGGTCCATTTGACAGAAACTGACAATGTTTTCCAAGTCTTTCAGCAAACTACAGTTGTCCGGCTGAGGGCAATCATGTCAAATCTCGGCTCTTACACCACCAATAGCCAATGTAATCCAGATGTATATTCCTCTTCCCCTCCCTGTTTTGTTCTTTCTGTCTGTTACACACTTACAGTCGTCCATTGTTTGATGAGATCAGGGTTGGGCAATTGATGCCTCTTGTCTTACAACAGTGATCAGTTTTTTGTATATGACATGACAACCTTATTGATTTATGTAATGCCATTTATAAAGAGCTATTATACAGATTGAAGGTATTGCAGTCTACTTGTTTATTATCTTCTAATCGGTATTAGGAGGCTGAGCAGAAGGTTCTTATATCAAATACTGTATTTCAGCTCAAATTTCAGGTGACTAGAGGGTGTAGGGGAGGGTGCACCTGCTTTGGAACCTTAATTCATGGGGAGGATGGTGAGATTTCTGGTGGTGAATCCAAGGTTTTTCTTGGTATTTGCTGTCTGCTACATCCCCCCACCTTCACAAGTGCCCTGTAAATATGTAAAAGTATATCTTCACATAAATCTCTTGAAGATTTTGAGAAAATAAAACTGGGAGCCTCAGCAGCTGGTTACAAATTTGTTTCCCCCTAGATTAGCATATCATATGCACTGAAATGTCACCCCATTATGCCACTCTTTGCTTCAGGTTGTGATATTTTTTCCTCAACCCTTCACAGAAATTCCAATGCAGCTTTATTTCAAATTATAATTGCGCTAGGTGGCATATGTTCAATTAAGGCATGGGGCACTTGACCCATGCATGCTAGAAGCAGTAGTAGTGAAAGAAAGCACTCAGAACTCCAGCTCAGAGATGGGTTCTTTTTCATAGTCAACACAAGCATGGCTGCTTTGGACCATAGCTTTTATTTTTAAAAATATATCTTCACATAAATCTCTTGAAGATTTTGAGAAAATAAAACTGGGAGCATCAGCAGTTGGGGAACAAACAGTTAAGTTTGTTTCCCCATAGATTAGCATATTATATGCACTGAAATGTCACCCCATTATGCCACTCTTTGCTTCGGGTTGTGATATTTTTTCCTCAACCCTTGATAGAAATTCCAATGCAGCTTTATTTCAAATTATAATTGCGCTAGGTGGCATATGTTCAATTAAGGCATGGGGCACTTGACCCATGCATGCTAGAAGCAGTAGTAGTGAAAGAAAGCACTCAGAACTCCAGCTCAGAGATGGGTTCTTTTTCATAGTCAACACAAGCATGGCTGCTTTGGACCACAGCTTTTATTTTTAAAAGTGTTATTTAACTGCTTGCTGTCTTTGCAAACGGTGTAGAATTGGGACTAAAATGAAATTGCGCCACTTTTTACAGCTATCCCTGATTGCAGCAAGTTTTTTAAAAAATACTTCAGAGCTATTTACCAAGTTTTTGTGGGTTGTTTCATTTGCAACAAAAACCTATCCAAAAAGATGAAATTTCCTGTCATTTTGTAGTCTCAGATTATCTCCCCAGCCTTCTTTCTTCTCACATGTCAAATGCCATTTCAACTTGTGTGTACAGTACAGTACTTTAGAGCTCATCACAAACTCTACACTTCCCGTTTCCTCTTCTGTTCTCCCTCATATTCACATCTTTCTTGCAAAATGCTCCAGAATACTAATGGGCTAGCCTTCACATTGTGCTGTTCCTATTGCTGCTGCTAAGGCTTTGCTTTTTTTAACCACTGCTGCAACTGGTTGTTCTGGGTTTTTCGGGCTCTTTGGCCGTGTTCTGAAGGTTGTTCTTCCTCACGTTTCGCCAGTCTCTGTGGCTGGCATCTTCTGAAGATGTCGGCCACAGAGACTGGCGAAACGTGAGGAAGAACAACCTTCAGAACAGGGCCAAAGAGCCTGAAAAACCCACAACAACCATTAGATCCCAGCCATGAAAGCCTTCGCGAATACACTGCTTCAGCTGCTACTTGTGTGTGATAATGTCATTGCATAATGGCAACACATTTTTTTAAAACAGCAAAACACAGCCAACATTTTCGAAAAAGCGCTCCCCAAAGGTCAAAAAGACGATGGCTATTTCAGAAAAAAGTGAAAAAGAGCCAAAACGGTAAGAGCAGTTTTGACACAGACTTGGTTAGAATAACATAAGACATGTTACTATTCAGAACCATGGGACGTACATGTATGACACCACTATTTGTTTATCTGGAACTGCAAACACTTCACTGCTACTGCCACACTTCCTTTTCTGGTGGCATGTGTATTGCACTGAATATCCCTTCTGAGTGGAATATAAGTCCTTGCAAAGGACTTTCGAGTAATCAAAGTGTTTTCCTAGCTGAAAGAGTGCACCTCACTAATAAGTGCTTGCATTGCATTTCATAGACTCTGATGTTGAAACAGTGAAAGAGGTGCCTGAAGGACTAGTAGAAATGGCTTGCAAAGTGTGCGAAACTTACCTCCATCAAATTGCACATGACGACATTGACACAGACATAGACAGTCCTCCAGTACTTTCAGAAAAAGAATGGAACCAACTCCTTGAACAGTACTACTCTCTCATTCAGTAAGTATTCACTTCTAACAGTCAAGGAACGCCATGTCAAGGGTAATTCTCCCCAAGAGATACAGAACATGTGGATTTCCAAATGTACTGCAACGTCCATGACCCCTGGCACTGACTATGCAGCTAGGGCTCCAATATTGGCAGTATGTACATGCAACTCCTGGATGTGTGAGTAGTTTTTTTTTATTTTAACTTTTTGACACATGTGGAAGAAGGCATCCAGTACCTCAACTGTTCATGCTGTTCTCATTTCTCTGTTTGTTGCCTATATGCTGGTTGAGTTCCACTCCCCTCAAACCGGAGACAACCATGAAATGGCCCAGGGACTATCAGATGCTCCTAGCATATTGTGCATTCATTTCATGTATTATATTCCTCGTTTACCCCCTGTGACCTGAATAAAATTCCAAATTAATTGGATCTGTGAACTGCCACATATAATCTCTGATCACATTTACCTGTCCGCTGGGGCAAACAGTGAGCATCATTTTGCTATTGTGACTGTTTCAGCTACTGATCTCCTCTTCGGCTTCAGAATCTGTGTACGTAACTCATGAAGCTTTTCACATCACCATATGAACCTACCCGGCAGTTAAGATCTAGCCAGGGGGCCCTTTTGAAAGAGCCATCCCTTAAGGAGGTAAGAGGGACGGCTTGTAGACAAAGGGCCTTATCGGCAGCTGCCCTCAGACTATGGAACGCCCTCCCGAGGGAGATTCGTCTGGTGCCAACGCTGATGACATTTCGGTGCCAGGTCAAAACCTTCCTGTTCCAGAAGGCTTTTAATTGAAATAATATTAGCTGTGGGTCCAATGGCAATTTTTAATATATATTTTAATTGTATTTTAATTGTTTTAAATTTTATTGTATTTTAAATGTTGGAAGCCACCCAGAGACCTTTGGGTAGTGTGGGCGGCATATAAATTAAATAAATAAGATATAGTAGTTATTGGCCTTTATTTTTAAAATTTGCACTCCAGTTAATTTGGGCAATTATGTAATAGACAAAAACAGGTTTTAATCAATTAGATAAGCTGATTAAACACTGCAGTCCTAATAAGCAGTAATTAGACATAGAACTGTGGAAAGAGTAAATATAAATACTTACAATGAAAATTAAAAGTGATTGCTTTATAAGTACCCATTAAAACACAGGGAAGCACATACTGTAATGCAGAAAAATCAGGTGTATGCTCGATATTAATCAGCATGAGTTAGTTATAAGCTGCATGCAGGCCACAGCGGCTTCTTTCTTTCAGCATTTTTTCTAGGTGAAAATAGAATTTCAATCAAAATTATTGGGGGATGTACATATATTCCAGATATTGAGAACCCCAAAGTGACGTTTACTATAGAATATTCATCTGAGCCTATCTGTATGCCTTTTGAGACAGTGGCTTCATTCATTCATTCATTCATTCTGGGGCAAACCTACCACATCCTTAAAAGGAGCCTTTTCTTCTCTTCATCATAACTGCAAGACACATTTGTAAAAATATTTTCTCTAAATTTTAAAAACTCTTCTTGTTTGCAGTGAAGGTGCAGTGATTTGTAATGCAGACAATTATTTTGCTCAGTGTCAAAACATTTTGCACAAAATTATGCTAGCAGACCCACAACAAGAGATTGATGGTCTCCATAACATTTGGATTATTAAACCTGGAGCAAAATCCCGTGGCAGAGGTAGGACTACTCTTCAAATCAATGTACCATGTGGTAAATGTGGGGACGTTTGTCCATTTCTTAAATGTGTACTGAACTAAAATGGAAGGCAATCATTGTTTTGGTGGTATTCTGTTACTGATGCCCACCTTCTAGAGATTAACTCTATCCATTGTTATGCTAGGAGTAAAGACATTTGCCTATCATTTCATACAGTGCTGTTTCCTTTTGCTTCATTCAGGGAAACAGATGGTTTGTCTGTTTCCAGGGTCTTGAAAGTTTGTTCCAAGAGTGATTCAAACCTGAACTATCTCTGGGGGCAAAAACGATGAAACGGAGTGTTTGGGCACATAATGAGGAGACAAGACTCATGAGAAAAGACAGTAATGCTGGGAAAAGTTGAAAGCAACAGGAAAGAGGAAGATGAGATGAATGGACTCATTTAAAGGAAGCAAGAGGCTTGAGTTTACAAAAGCTGAGCGAGGCTGTTGAGGACAGGACAGAGGTCACTAATCCACAAGGTTACTCGACAGCACATAAGTAGAACAACAACAGTCTTCCCTACAGGGAGATAAGTGGCCACATTAATTTCATCCAAAACCAAATTCTTGCTTTGTCACACAGGACAGAGGTCACTAATCCACAAGGTTATTCAACAGCACATGAGTAGAACAACAGTCTTCCCTACGGGAAGATAAGTAGCCACATTAATTTCATTGAAAACCAAATTCTTGCTTTGTCACGGTTTGAAGTTTGTTTCATTAATTGCCAGTAAGGGAAGCTTTCAAGGGAAGCTTGGATTTAGGTTTGGACATTGAGTGGAATCTCTTCTTCCTATCTTACTTCCAAGTTAGTTTAGCTAGTGGGAACTGTCAGATGAGGCAACTGGGCAGTATATATTAATATACTGCTTGTGAATAATTGCTTATAATTTATGGAGTTGTGAAACATGATCACTTCTCTGAAAAGTTAATGTATTATGCCTCTAACTTTAGAACATTTCCAAACATTGCTGTATTAGTCAATGTTTTATAATCATGCCTTTTTCTCTTCCAGAAATAGTATGCAAGAACCGACTTGATGAAATATTGAAATTAGTTGAACCAACAGATCAGTTTCCTATAAAGGACCATAAATGGGTTGTCCAAAAGTATATTGAGACCCCATTATTGATTTATGATACAAAGTTTGATATTAGGCAGTGGTTTCTTGTGACAGACTGGAACCCACTAACATTGTGGTTCTACAAGGAAAGCTATTTGAGATTTTCCACTCAACGTTTCTCCTTAGACAACCTACACAGGTAACCACACTATACTATAGTATCATTTTCATAGTGAGAACATAACTCAAGTGAACATAACTCAGGTAATCAAGAAAAGCAGAAATGTGTATGGACAATATTTTCTGTACGGAGTATTCATTTGAAATGGTCATGAGTGAACGTCAGTTTTGTTCCTTATGATACTGGCACTACTGAACTATTACAGCTGTGCAATGCCAGTATATAAATATGCTCTTGCTTTAGAGTATGGTGTTAAGGTAGGCTCTGTAATACCCCATTTTTCCATGTATAAGACTATACTGTTGTCTAAAATCTTTAGACTAAAAATTGAGGGTCATCTTATACACAGAAGTAAGCTGAGGAGAGAAAAAACCAAGTGGAGGGGAAAGCAGGGATGAAAGTGATCCTGCAGGGCTTTGATCCCTGTTTTCCCCTCCACTTGCTAAGCCTTAGCAAAAGGACAGCAGGGATGAAAGCGCTGAAGGATGGCTTTGATCCTTGCTTTCCCCTCTGCTTATTAAGTCCCATGGGGCTTAGCAAAAGGAGGGAGGAAGGCTTAAAGCAATCCCGTGGCTGCATAAGGGGGAAAGGGATCAAAACAATCATGCAGTCGTGGGATAGCTTTGATCCCTTTCCCCCTACACTTGCTAAGCCCCACTTAGATTTCTTAATTTTGGGTTAGAAAAGTGGGGGGGCATCTTATACATGGGGGCGTCTTATACATGGAAAATACAGTAATTTAGAGGAGAAGACAGAATTGTTTATGACTGAATAAGAACTAAGATTTGATCAAAATGTCAGAAGAATGCACATAATATTGTTTTAAATCCTTGGTCCTCATCTCAAGTGAGACAAAATCCAAACACAGATTCTTAATTTGACATCATTTAGTACAACCTCAGCCAAGAATGACTCAAGAATCTAACCAATAAACTTACATTCAAATAGTTTCAAGTGATGCCTCTTGACCAATAACAGTAGCCTAAGATATTTTGCGTACAGAAGATGTGCGTGTACACATACACCTCTGTTCTTCTGTGAAGTGAAGAGAGAAGGCCTCTTAAGAAAGTGGTCCCATCTGAAATGTTGTAAGAACTTGCCTTTATGTTAATATAAATATGGTAATAGTGGGATATCCTCTGCTCAGATAACCAGTAGCATGTTTTTAGTCTGCTCTAAATACTAGTTTTAAATAGGTAGTACTATGTCTAGTTCTGGACATCCCAGTTTAAGATGGGTATTGACAAGCTGGAACATGTCCAGAAGTAGGCACCCAAGGTGAAACCAAGTCATGTGGAAAATCATTGAGGACTTTGGGCATGTTTAGTTTTCAGAAGGGAAAACTGATGAAGAGAGAAGGCCTCTTAAGAAAGTGGTCCCATCTGAAATGTTGTAAGAACTTGCCTTTATGTTAATATAAATATGGTAATAGTGGGATATCCACTGCTCAGATAACCAGTAGCATGTTTTTAGTCTGCTCTAAATACTAAATAGGTAGTGCTATGTCTAGTTCTGGACATCCCAGTTTAAGATGAGTATTGACAAGCTGGAACATGTCCAGAAGTAGGCACCCAAGGTGAAACCAAGTCATGTGGAAAATCATTGAGGACTTTGGGCATGTTTAGTTTTCAGAAGGGAAAACTGAGTGGTGATATGAAAGTAAGTAATTTTAATAATACCTGAAGGGCTGCCTCATGGAACCTAGAGCAAAATTGTTTTCTGCTGCTCCAGAGCGTGGGATCAAAATCAATAGATCTGTTATAGGAAAGGAGATTCTGACTAAATGTTAGTAAGAACTTCCCATTGGTAAGTGTTGTCCAACATGAAATGGAGCATGTTGGAAGATGGTGAACTGGAACTTGTTTAAGGCTTTCAAAAAGAGTTTGGGTGGCTGCCAGTTGGGATTTGCTTTAGATGTGCTGAATGGGCGGGGCTGAAACTAGATTCATTTACAACTCAACTTTCTTATGATTTTAGTGTACCCGATTAATCAATTAAATGTTATCCTTCAAGCTGTTTTTTTTAAAAAAAATGACTTTAAGTACTCCTTCCTTTTTCTTTTATTTATATTGCTTCAAAAATGATTAGCATTGTCAATTTCTGTGCAGTCTTTTACAATTCTTGTCTACCATATCCACAGTTCCATTCACCTTTGCAATAATTCCATCCAGAAAAATTACAAGAATGCGCCGGACCGCAGTTCTCAGTTGCCACATCACAATATGTGGACCAGCACTAAATTCCAAGAGTATTTGCAAAAGAGAGGCCTCGGTCATGTTTGGCACAATGTGATCTATCCATCCATGAAAAAAATCTTAATTTATACCATGAGGATGGCTCAGGACCAGGTTGAGCCACGGAAGAGCAGTTTTGAACTCTATGGAGCAGATTTCATTCTTGGAAACGACTTTAAGCCTTGGTTGATTGAGATCAATAGCAGTCCAACCATGTATCCTTCTACACCAATCACAGCAGACTTGTGCGCCCGGGTTCAAGAAGACACAATAAAAGTTGTTGTTGACCGAAAGCTTGATAGAAACTGTGACACTGGAACTTTTGAACTTCTCTGGAGGCAGGTTAGAGTTATTTAATTTGTTATATTATGATTTAATTTTCTGAATGTTACTCGGAAATAATTTAATTTGATGACATTAAGTTACTTAATTAGTCAGCTTGATTATATTTAGCAGCTCATTTTGAAGCCTTAAAATATCAATAGCGTAGGCACCTGAAAAGGCTTCAGTGCCAAAAGGGTGGGGGCAGAAAGACTCTCTCCCCAATGCAGGCTTCAGTGAACTTACACAGAGGATTGCCACGGCACCCTGGCATGTTAGCACATTAGGCCTAACCCTTTAAAGCAGTCTAAGATAAGATGGAACTGGATGAGTTGTTTGCCATGTTTTCAGAATACAGTGCTTCTAAAAGTGGTAAAATCCATTTACTGCACCTTGTTTTGTGATTGGTCATTGGAAAGTAAACACATATCTAATTTGCAAATCTGAGGAAAGTCCATGATGGAAGGAAAAAAGGAGTTGATTTAAAGGAGCACATGGTTTCATTAACACACAGTTTGAGCCACAATATTACACGCTGTTACAAGCACATCAGTCCTTGGTGTAACCGTTATGAAGTCTAGGACTTTGTAAAGGTGTTCTAGAACTAAGTAAAGAATACAATAATAATACCCTAGATCTTCAACAGATGTCTAGAAAAGAGTCGAGACTGTCTCTGGATAGGAATCTGTTAAGGTTCACAACCACTACTTAATTATGGCAATTGTCCTAAACCTTTGTCTGCTGTCCATTCTGGTAAGAGAAATGACTATAAAAAGAACCTTTCTTTTCTTTTCTTTCTTTTTTTGCATGCCTTTGTAGCCCATGTTGGATCTGCCACCATTTAATCCAGCAGACCTTTTTGTGGAGGGCATCAGTGTGAAGAGACTGAAAAAGCAAATAGTTCCCTTGACTAAATTTAATTTCCTTGAACCACTGGTGAATGTCGTGCAACCTGTGACCAGTGCAGAAAACAAAGGAGATGCGCTGACACCTGTCATGGACAAACAAAGCACCCAAATAAGACATGGAAATAGGATACCTTGCACCTTGCCAAAGACCCTCAAGAAACTGGAAGAGAAAAGCCTGAAAGTAAAAAGTGCCCACAAAAAGCCTATGAAATCCATAGACTTTCCTCGCATAGTTGATGGCAGTGAAGCAACACCCATAGCTGACAAAAAAAAGATGAAAACAATTAAAGAGCCAAACCATCAAACTGGAACTCCAGCAGGCACCGCCTTTCCAAAGTCTAATGCATTAGACTGGGCATTGCTTCAGCCCTCTAAAGATGCAGGTAAAAGAAATATCTATTTTTAATATATACAGTACCCATTGTGGTGTAGTGGAAAGAGTGATGGAATAGGACTCAGAAGATCCAGGTTCGATAAATATCTCACTTAACTTGGAAACCCTATTAGGGTCATTATACATTGGTTCCGACTTCATGGCACATAGCACACAAATCTTTTAAAAATACTTTTACCACAATATATACAAGACAGTCCATAATATAGCATTATTAACAACCACAGCTTAGAATATTCACTTAGAATTGCCCACTCCATGACCATATTGGCTGAGGTAGTCTGGACATTGTCATCCTTGAAAGTATGTATTGTATGCAAACATGCAAAACGTAACTAGTTTTGTGATAGTTTTACATTCGTTTTACCTGTCTGAGATACGGTAATTTAATTTTTTTTTCCTGTTGAGATTCTCTCTTTGGGTTCTTTTGTGTCTCAAGAGAAAATCTGAGGACAATGATAATTAAACCAGTGTGAGAGCTGAATTGCTCATGATATTTGGAAACCTGAGCTTTTAAAAAAGAAGTCAAAGGTTACCACACACTCTGAAATCAAATGAGAGCAATTATGCTGAGACAGGGCGGTTTCTTCTTTCTAATTAATTTCCCTTAAATTTCTCTCCTGCATAACCTGCTAATTGCTCAGGGGTGTGTGACCAGGACATATATGTATATGAATACCAGTATGTTTTTCTTTCTGAGGCAAGCAGCTGAACGTGGATGGTGTAGAACAGTGGTTCTTAACCTTGGGTTACTCAGGTGTTTTTGAACTGCAACTCCCAGAAACCCCAGCCAGCACAGATGGTGGTGAAGGTTTCTGGGAGTTGCAGTCCAAAAACACCTGAGTAACCCGAGGCTAAGAACCACTGGCGTAGAAATTCAAACTAGCAACAACAACAAAAATCTCCTTCCTGTCCTCATTGCAGAATCACTTGTGGCTTCCTCCTCCTCCTCGTCGTCTTCTTCCCTTTGAAGAGATCCCATCACAGACTTCTTCATGTCAGTCCTGCTCTGACTAAGTGTCATACACACATAAAAAACACAAGAACCTTTTTGCAGGAGAATTCATTTATTACTTAGAAAAACTCAAGAAAGTACAGAAATGGACTTCATTAAGGAAGGATTGAGGAATGTCAATGCTGATTATCTCCCGGTTCTTCATTTCCCTTAGACTTGAGAGGGAAACTAGTCCTGCAGGTGGTTTGAATGTCAGTTCCCAGAAACCAAATCCAGTAAAATGAGATATGGAAATTTTAGAGTAAAGCACGTGAAAGGACATAGACACCTCGGAGAGGGAAACTAGTCCTGCAGGTGGTTTGGATGTCAGTTCCCAGAAACTTTAACTAGCAAATCCAGTAAAATGAGATATGGAAGTTTTAGAGTAAAACACGTGAAAGGACATAGACACCTCATTTCTCTCTCAGGTCTTTGTGTACCATACCATCCATTGACTAATAGCTACTCAGGCCTCATCCTCAAGTGCAACACAGTGAGGCAGAAGAATACTGAGGTGAGGCTATGAAAAAGATACCACTTCAAGGATGGAGAGAGTGTTCAAGATTTGTACACCCAATCTGTAGTTCAGAATTGTACAACCTACCAGTGTGTTATTTTGTATGGGTGGGTTCTGCTATATACATTTCTCAGTATCACTTGTTCTGCCAATGCTGAAGAAAAAGCCAGCATCAAGGTATCAGAGATTTCTCTCATTTTCTAAAATGAATGCATGTGCCTTTTATCTTGGTCCTTGTTGCTACCAGCTGGTTAGTTTTTATTATTTTGACCTTCTCCCCATCATGAGGAAGTTGGAAACCCCCAGTGTAACAGAAACATCAGAGTAGGTTCCAGACTCATCATACTTAAGAGTTGATCTAATTTATCTGATTTGATCTGTGCTGACTAACCTGCCCTGACAATTTAATTACAACTAGTTTCAGCATTGCTAAGTTTGGATCCAATATATTTTAAAGCTTTTATGCATACTTGTATGCATTACCTTGGCAGGAAGATCCTCAACAATGGGACCTCCTTCTGAATAGACATAGATAACACTGAACTGTCACATTTAGCAGATTAATCAGCCAGATTATTTTTAATGGTTAAAAACATATTGGTGATTAATTGAACAGTAGTGTTTTTTTTTGGTTTATGAAAACATTTAGAAAAATATTAACTTTAGGTTTTCTAAATATTTTCTATTCATTTAGAAAAATATTTAGAAAAACTGCAATCTTACATTGCTATCTCTCACTTGGGTTAATTTCTATGTTTTAAAAGATGTGAGATTGTTATCTTAAAAAAGGGCACATCCTCTGGGGCTTTGCACCGATGAAAAACACTTTTATATGCATAAGGCAGGGCACTCAAACTTTGCTCCTCTTGCCTATCCCATAAAGCCATCCGGCCTCTCGAGAAGTTGCTTGTCAGGATTGGGAGACACTGGAGTTGTATGGGATATCGGCCGGAGAGCTGCAATAGGTAAGGAGAAATGCTGAAACCTGGGTGACCTGCATTATGCAACAGAACCTGTTTTTGCTACGACAAAGCCACCAATGGATACAGCCACTAAATATTTTCCTTCATAGTAAGTGCATACTGATGTCCACTTTATGCTTATTTTAATGATCAAATGATTAATGAAACCATATACTATTAACTAAGATTTCCTTGATTAATTTATATCCCCAACACAAGCACTTGCAATATGGAGGAAAAATAAGAAATATACCAAGCGTTTTTCAGTTTGATAGCAGTAGAAAAGGATATTTTAGGAGGTGCCCATGGAGCTGTCTTTGCTGTTGCACAACTTTCTGTTCACTCGTCCTTTCTCCCCCCTGCTAGATAAGGTGCACTTTGAAAGTCAGCAAAAGCAAGATACAAGGCCCAATGAAGTAGAAAATAGGGATCCCATATCATTAGTAATTGTGTGGAGAAAAAAATCAGAAGTAATTTGTAGGACAATATTCACCTGCTGAAATGTCCTTCCCTTCCTTACTATTACAGATACAGGGGCTCTGCCTTACATTTTATGTGTTCACACTTCATGTAGAGTAGTTTAGTTGCGATAACTGATCCAATGTTCTTTTACCACAAAAAGGACTGCAAAGTAGTCATTGTTATTGTAAAAATGCACAACATAACAGCTTTCACTGGATCAATGTCTGTTAATAGAAGAAAATGATATCATTTAGGTCCACAAAAATATTTAAGCAAAAATGTGGGGAAAGACAAATTAGCATATTCTGAGCCTTAGAAAAGCCTCAAATATGAAGAGTTTCACCAAGTGTATGTGCTACTTTCATACATGATGTTTATCCGTGATTTTAAAGGAAGCTGGTTAAAAAGTTCGAAAATTTGTTGAGATTTTAGAGCTGTCAGATAATGGGAGCAGAGTTTTTGTATCTCTTTTGTTTAAAAGACCAAAATGCCATGGGAAAGGCCTGGTTAGCACACACACTGTTTCTTTAGTTTTTAGGCAACACTAGTAGAATCATAGTAAAGAACAGTTGTTAAAATAGTGTTACATATTTACTTGTATGCAAATGTTCTGGCAGAATTTGCTGAGGCTAATTGTCAAGGTGCTGGGTGCATGGCAGACATATGTTGGGCCCATGACCAACATGTGAGCTGCACCTTGCCATTTATCTGTAATTAGCTGTGGCAACATCTGAAATTATTCATCTTCTGCATGTGCACATACCCAGCACAATTCTGGCCAGTGTACATTATTTCTAGGGGATGAAACAGGTTAGCTGGAGGCAGCAAAACAACAAAGGGCTCAACAACACACCTTGTGGCATACACTTTTGCAGATTTCCTCCCCTTTTCATCAAATGCATTAAACATTCTCTCAGGGAGTAAATTAGTACACAAGTGTATTCGCGAAGGCTTTCACGGCCAGGAACTAATGGTTGTTGTGGGTTTTTCGGGCTCTTTGGCCGTGTTCTGAAGGTTGTTCTTCCTAACATTTCACTGGTCTCTGTGGATGGCATCTTCAGAGGACAGCACTCTGTGCTCTGGTGTAGTTGGCTTGGGAGTGGAGCATTTATGGCTGTGAGATGGGCTTTTGTCTTTTTCTGTAGATGGGCGATTAGTGTGTCTTGTTGTGCCGGCCACAGAGACTGGTGAAACGTTAGGAAGAACAACCTTCAGAACACGGCCAAAGAGCCCGAAAAACCCACAACAACCAGTACACAAGTGCTTGGTGGGTGATTTTAGTCAAGGATTTGCAAGGAATTTGAAATGGAAAAAGTAGGAAAAGTGATAATTATAGTAACAGTGGCCATTAGTAGAAAGAGTATTTGAGTGGTGGTGACCCAGATGGGGTTGCATTTATAAGTCTTTAAGGCTGAAGACGCAGAGTGGAACAACTTGAGGACTGTTTTTGTTCAATAATTTTGTGTAGAACGTCAGTGTTGAGGGGCATTAACGTCTACTCTATGTTTTGTTTGAAGGTCTGCAGGAAAAACAGAAGACTCCTTGCCTAATTTGTGGAGATGGTTTCCAGCCAGCAAAAGCTTGTAAACACTGCAGCTCTTTTTGTGCAACTGTATTACAAGGAGGGTCGTACTTACCAATGACTTCATGTTCTCCTCCTGAAAAGATGGGGAAAAACAGGCTTGCTGTCCCATGTTATGGGCTTCCAAAATACTTCTGACTCTTTTCAAAGTACCACGAGAAAGTGTTTTTTTAAATCTAACTCCCTAAAGATAAGACAGAGATCAAGAACCTTCCTTGTACATATATATGTATAGATATAAAATCCAAGAAAAGCTGAAATACCCAGTTTATTAGTAGATTGCTCTAGCCAGTTGTGTGGCAGGAATCTGCAAATGCAATGGAAAAGATGGTATTTAGACAAACCTAGCACTTAACCTGAACCTGATTTCCTTGCAAAAAACCTAGGGACGTGATGGCACTGCAGAGGGATGTGGTGGCGCTGTGGGTTAAACTGCAAAAGCCTCTGTGCTGCAAGGTCAGAAGATCAGCAGTCATAAGATCAAATCCACGCAACACAATGAGCTCCAGTTGCTTGTCCCAGCTCTGTTCTGTTATTAAGGATGCTAAAAGTAAAACTTTTAAGTGCTAAGGTAAAGGTTCCCCTTGAGATTTAGTCCAGCTCCTGCCAACCTAGCAGTTTGAAAGCATGTAAAAATGTGAGTAGATAAATAGGTACCATGTTGGTGGGAAGGTAACGGCATTCCATGTCTAGTCACGCTGGCCACATGACCACGGAAACTGTCTACGGACAAACACTGGCTCTATCGCTTGGTAATGGGGATGAGCACCGCGCCCTAGAGTCAGACATGACTGGAATAAATGTCAAGGGGAACCTTTACCTTAGCACTTAAAGTTTTGCTGTTAGCATGCTTAATAATAGAACAGAGCCTGGAAATAATAATTTACAAGTTATTGTACACAAGTTCATTAAAGTGTTGATGTTTAACATTCATAATTTTAATTGTCAAGGGGAACCTTTACCTTAGCACTTAAAGTTTTGCTGTTAGCATGCTTAATAATAGAACAGAGCCTGGAAATAATAATTTACAAGTTATTGTACACAAGTTCATTAAAGTGTTGATGTTTAACATTCATAATTTTAATTGTTAAATGCCAGAAATGTTAATTTAAAAAAAGATTAATGTTTCATATTAATGTGATTACTAATTTGGGGTATAATTTGATAGCATTAACCATTTTGACTAGTCATTTTTATTGATTTTTCTTTAAAATGAAACCTATGTGGTCATAACAATTAAAATAGTGAATCAAGATCAACATTTTTTTCTTAATGCTTTGATAATATCAAATTAATTAACTGACTGAATGCTGATGTGTTACTGCAAGTGCTAATTATTCTAGGCTTTGCAAAAGAGAGGAGGAGATGTTTGGGAGGAAGTGAAGTCAAAACTGAAAATATTACTCTGTGATGGGACGGGCAACTCTAATATGTAATAAAAATAAACCTTAGAACTACGGAGCTGGAAGGGACCCTGTGGATCATCAAACCTAACCCCTGTCAAGGAGACACAACGAGGAATCGAACTCCCAACCTTTGGCTCAGCAGCCAGATACTTAAACCACTGCAGGCTTGAGGGATAAATGTTGTCCGCAATACCAGTTACGGGCTGTAGAAGGCCCCAAAACTCAGATTTTTTTTAATGCAAACAATTAAACCGGTAGGGCCTGGACCTTGTCTTCCATTTTTAAACTTGGGTGTGGTGGTCTGAACCGGCCCCCAAAATATTTCATGCAAAAAAAAAATCAATTCCTGGATGCTGGATTAGATTTTTAAAAAACCAGTTTTCATTGTTTTAAGAACTGATGGGAACTTGGTGGGATTGTGGGGCCAGAAAAATGGCTTGAGGAACAGCTGATGGCCCATAAGCTACATTTTGCCCAAGTCTGATTGATGGAAAGCAGAAGAAACAGTGCAGAAGACCGTGAGTGTGTATATTTAATATTCCAGGAGGACACCTAGCTAGCTACCTCTATTTTATCTTAATATCATATTGTCATGTTTGTCCAAATGGTGACAGAGTTCTACTTGTGGTGAAATTGTGGAAGCTAATTATCTTTCACTTTAAGAAGAAATTTTTCTTCTCTTGAGCCTTAACTTAATTTCTAAGGGCTGGACTGCACATTGTAATACTCCTGTTTTTGCATTGGGTTTGGCACACTTGAAATTGAATTAAAAATCTTCAACTACACAATGTACAGTTAAACACACATTATTCTGGGCAGGGCATGGGTTTTTAAAAATATTCATATGGAGGTTGTTTATTTAAAATCAATTCTGGAAGTTTTTTTTTCTTAAAACTCATTTTGACATGTTTGTCTGTTGTGGAGTAAATAGTATCTGTGGGGGAGTCTGCGGGGTTTGCTGAGTTCTGGATGCTGAGCACAATGAATTTTGGGCTGCAGGACTGGACTCTTCCTTTTCTCCTCTAAATCTATTTTAGCATTGCATTGTTTTAGCGCTATAGCACTTGTATTAATTTTTTTTAAAAAAACATTATTTAAACCAGACATGATGATTCTTAAAGGACAAAGATAATGACTCTTAGAGTAGTTATGGGCTGTTTTGTAGGCTGCTGATGCTGGTTTTGCTGAATAAAAGTTGGTGAGCTCTGCCTCAAGAAAAGCACAAGGTATGGTGGAGGAGAAGATTGTTCCTGATAATGAGGAAAAACTGGGAAAACTGGAACATATACCACATAGCTTAAAACTAGACTAAAAATTGTTCCCTGAGGATGCACACACCAACACAAAACCATGTGATAAACTGATTTCTAAAAACCTGAACCAGTTTCAGATTTAAAATTTGTGGGAGACAAAATACACGACTGCCTGTTTCACACAGACTGAAGGAGGATGTAAATCTGCCTTATACAATCTGCTTTGTTTGTTGAATCAGAGTCTTGGGTCAGGAAGGGATTAGTACCTCTGTGTTTGGTGGTATACTAAACCTGTCTCACTCATTGGTAACCCTGTTTATTAGACTTCTTGTTTAACTGTTTCCTGAATGCCATGCCTGAAATAGGAAGAGGAGTTAGAAGAGGATCTTAAGTAGAATAGGGAGATGACAGGCTTTCATGTGATTGAGAATTTTGTATTGAAATTAAGAAACAGGGACTGGCTTTTCCAAAATGATTGTTTTTACAGAATTTTCGTCTTATCATGTATCTTACAGTGTACCAAAGGTAACGGTAGGGCAATGAACTCATTTTTCCTTGATATTCCCCACAAACCAAATAAATACATTTTGTGACCTAATACAGACATCAGTTCCAGAAAGTCCCACATCATTACACAGAGGACATCAGATGGCAATTCATAAATTCTTTTGGGATTGCTGTTAGTCAGTATGAGGTTGTAATTTCCTGAGTAGACCAACGGTGGCAAGTGGAACAAGATACAGCAGTGCGTCTCTGGGGAAATGCTGCTACCTTACTACTTTTTGTAAACAGCAAGTACTCTTTCCTAGAAAAAAGAGAACTTAAGGCTTGAAACTGGATAATTTACTCCATCTCTTTTGTAATATTTTTAATAGCTGCTTGTAGTAAATTTGCCTGAACCAACTTTGTTGTATATGTCAATTAAATAATAATAAAAAGTCCAAACCTTATTTAAAACAACAATTGTATGTCTGTATTTCAAATGTTTTAAAACCAAGCTGGATTGTGTCTTATCTATGTGTGTGATTCTTCTAGGCCATCTTTCAGAGTTTTGTGATTTTTCAAGAAATTTACCGTATTTTTCGCTCCATAAGATGCACTTCCCCCCAAAAAAAGTGTGTGTGGGGGAAAGTGTGTGCGTCTTATGGAGCAAATACTGTAAAAAAAGTTTAAAGTGACAGAAGAAGAAGAAGAGATGGAGCAGCATGAGACAGAGGAATGGACAGAGGAGGGGGAAGTAGGAGAAGAGAGGAAGGAATCACAAGAGGGGGAAAAGAGGGGATAAATGTTTTTCTCATGAAAGAGGAGGGAGGACAGTTGAAAGAAATGGAAAGAGTGGTGTTAAGGAAAGATGTATGGGAGGAAAGTGATCCAGGGGAAGAAAAGGTGTTTACAGTGCCAGAAAAACAGCTGCTAAAACCATCCACATGGGTCCATCCCCCTTGCCTTTTCCAAGGCAGCCGCAAGGTCGGTTCCACGTGGTGGCCCAATGGCCAACTGAATAGCGAAGCTTTCCCTATGAAGGAGGAATTCAGGAGGGGAGAGCGACCTTATATGCCCTCCGGTTCAGCCCTCCTCTCAAGCTGCTCTCACGAGACAGCCTCATGGTCTCACGTGCCATCCGGGGAAGCAGGGCAAAGGCATGCTTCGCTGCTGGAGCCCTGGTCCCACAGCGGCATCATCATTCTCATGAGGGGGGGATAGTTGAAAGAAACGGAAAGAGTGGTGTTAAGGAAAGATGTATGGGAGGAAAGTGATCCGGGGGAAGAAAAGGTGTTTAGAGTGCCAGAAAAGGACAGGAAATCACGCCGCCACCTGACTTCCCCCCTGCCCCTCCACACATACACCCCTTCACCCCCGATGGCACCTCAAATGCAAGGTACGTCTTATAGTCAAATATGTCTTATGGAGTGAAAAATATGGTACATGCAAGTGGGTAAAAACGAATACATGAGAATGTGTCATAATGTATACGAACGTTTCTGAGGAAGTTGCTTAATATGCAGAGCAGCATTTGATGTCACAATTCTGTTATAAAACTGAAGTATCTCACAGTAAACTATACAGAGCAATCTGTAATATATTTTGAGTTAGATGTATAAGACTTGCAATACCAACCATAATCCCTTAAACTGCCTTCTTTCTGTCTAGGACTGAAAGGAATATTGTTGTCAACATATTTACCCCATTACTTTAGCCTTTCTGTCTTCTAGGATTTCTGGCTATCACGTAGATCTCATCTGAATCACTTCAGCTTGATGACTTTTCCTGCTTGAAATTCAGTGCTCATAAATTAACATGATATTCCAAACCAGATTCAATAATTCAGCACAACACTCTTTGTATTTCCCAGCTGTTACTTTCCAAGTTTACATGTCAATTATAAACATATTTACTCAGAACAAAGTAGTGCTGATTTTAGAGATTTACTTCTGTGATGAGGATGACAGACAAATTCATTTATCTTAGAACTTGTTCCTTCAGAGGTCTTACTCATTGAGGAATATAACAAATTCCCGTATGCTGGGTCAAACCTTTGTTCCATTTATCTCATTTTTATCTACATTATTATTATGTCAGGCAAAGTGCAAATGTTCCTT